GATAAATTTGTGACACAAGATGCATAATTCCTACAAAATTATTCTTCAGATTTTGTGCAGTGTGATTGCATCAAGCAAGTTGGAAGAGGAGTTCTGTGTTGTGACAAGAACACGTGACACAAATTGTGTCATTCAACATGGTATTGGATGACTGTATTACATAATGCAAAGGTTGGGAAAACAGCCAACATATTTTGTAATGTCATCAAACAGTTTCACTGGGAAATGATGTCTTTGAAATGAGTGCAGAAACTCTGTACTGATGATGTGTCACAAGGTACCTGATCTGGGGAGTGCTTCTGATTCATCAGTCCATCAGTATGGATGAAAATAATTGTTTCTTCACTCCTTTCTCAGTCATCATCTTGCGGGGAAATTATTGGTGGCATGGCCAAATGTCCATTGTTTTTGCATGCTACATACGAGTAATGCACAACACAAAAATGTTGTGACACAAGATCAGAGGTAGCCAAATAATGACTAGTTGTAGCAGGATTTTAACTGTCTTTATAAAAAGATTACCAATTGTGCCATTTGACATTAGTTGTTACATGTAATTAGGTGTCATGGGCACAGTTAGGGATATTATTTTACAACAGTCACTTTTACATGTAACACAATTTTGTTGCATAGTGTTTTGACAAGACTGTGTGCCTTTATTGTCCTTGACATTGTTGTGCAACAGTTTTAAGGCTATCATCATGATGTAGCTACACTTTCATCATGAGTAAAACAGAAATATATTCATGTGCATTATGGGTTTATTCAGTATTTCCGAGATGAGAGCAATGAAAAAGTTAAAAAGACAGTAACACACATTTTAAGTTAGCATTTTGTGTCAGCATATTCCATGATTGGTTTGGATCTGTTGGTTAGGGTTTGTTGATGTGTCAGGATTTAAAGGCCCATGTTCACAGAAGCGACTTTGCACACTTGTGTATTTATTTTGAAACGCTTCTTTTGTCAAATTCAGTGTTTTCATTGGGCAAAGTGTAACTCTATACACACTGAAGACAATTTTCAATTATGTTAAAGCAATTTTTCTGGAGTAGTCAGGGTGCGCAAAGCCACTTGGGTGAACATGGGCCTTTAAGATGTAGAAAGACTAAAGATCTAGTGAATTGTATGATAAAGTTGTGGTTCAATTTTATCCTTGATTTGAATTTTACTTTTCCTTGTTTTAAACTCATTAACACAGACACCATACCCATAAACAATGCAAAGTGAATTTAAACCAAGGATAAAATTAAAACCACAAATAGACGTGGTGTACATAATTATTTATAGTCAAAGGGCTACTTTACCTATTAAGATATGAAAACTGTTAACATTAATTTGTTTTATCCAAACTAAGATAGACTTAGGAAGGATAAGCTAATAGTGTGCTTTAATCTGACATCACTATGCAGTAACCTGTAAAAATATATGACTTAAAAGGGCCTTAAGTGCAAAAAAAAAATTCATCCAAGTGAGGATCATCTTTTAGTTAAATTAAAAATATTAACTTGTTTACAGGTGGTGTTATTGCCTCTATTTCATCAACATTATTTATTCACTCTTTGTAAATTGGGAGTAAGAATAACCAAAATCTGATGTTACTAAACTGTTTCACCTTTGGAGTCTGTGATAACATTATGTAGAGAAGTTTATGTATTACATAGAGAAGGGCCCCTTTCCTATAAATTGTATGGAGCGCAAGGTTCTGGGTATGGCACAACAGTTTTCTCAAAAGTTAGAATATTTGCCTAATCAAATTCAATAGTGCAGCTACCCCGATTCACATTCCCGTTGTGCTAAGTAATACCTCAAGCTCTTGAGCTAACTAAATACCACTTTCATAATTTTATAGAACAATGGTTCGTGCTTTGGCTGTGTGTATATCGAGGTAAACAAATTGGAAAGCCTTTAGAGGCTAGAGTTGCTCCCACCTCGTCCACGCTATTCAAACTTCCTGTATGGTTTATATCTCAATATACCGGTAAGCACAGCAAAAGCATGATCCCATTTATTTGTTAATTAAAGTGCACATGGATGGTGGCTTCAATCCTCCCCTACCCTCTAAACAATGTTAATTAGTTTGCTTGAACAAAGTCAGGGCTGTCAACTCTCCCGGATAATCCAGGAGACTCCAGATTTTCGACCGTTATCTCCCAGTGTCCAGGGCTGAGTTGTTCAAAGCTGGGTTAAGATAACCTAGGGTTAGTGCGAGATTTGAATTCAGATTTGAAAGCCATTCCTTCAGTAGACTCAACTTTCCGACAATAAAATTTCAACTATTTTGCGTTTTTGGGCTATTTTAATGTTAACATTGAACATTCCGTCATCAACTCCAGTATGCCATTGTTAAACTGATTGGTTTTTGCACGTTTTGCGTCATTGCAAATTTGGTGACAAAGGCAGTCAACGAGTATTTCTTTGCACAAATGATGTCATATGAAGTCATTTATCATCCCTTTCCTATCAATAATAATTGAATTATTGAAGACGTGGGGAATTGACAACCCTGAAAGTGGGGGAGCTAATACGCCCCAATCTCCATCTTCCCTAGGTTCTAACTTTGGAGAAGATTTAGAGTCACATCAACAGTAAACACCACATGTCAGATTCAAGTTGTTAAATTCTTAAAATTGTAAATGAGCTGATTAAAACAGCTCAAAACGATTCTTACGAATGGAACTGGAGTGAAACTACTGATTTCTGTGTTGTTACAATGAACGGTAAATGATAACTATATAGAGGAACTTGGTAAAAAAGTCATGTTTGTGTAAACATGACTCTATTAACTCAAGCCTTTTGCAAAAGTAAGAAAAACCTCTTTGGTGGAAGCACGATATATGTAAAATGTGCTGCTTGTTGTATCAGGCACAGGTTCTTCAAAAGGTGGATATCGCTATCCACCAGATAAATCTCTATCCATTGGATGACACAATTGGTTTCCCGCATGCTTTTCCTCTGGATAGTGATTTATATGGCGGATAGCATCATTCAGCCTTTAAGCAACTGGGAAAAGTTCCATAACTAAGTTAGGTTGAGAAATTGACCAAACACAGAACATGAGTTTGAGAACCCAAAGAAGACTGTTTACTGTCCTTTAGTTTTCCATGGGGGCTACTACCTTGCATTCATGTGGTGAAAGTGATCTGGAAAGGAAGAGTTACCATAGGAATGGAAAGGTGTAGACCCAAAGTATAGGTTGTTAACCACTTAGCCACCATACCTCCACCACACATTGTGATCTGGGGAGAGTGCAAATTGTCTGTGGGGGGATATCAATTTTATGCATTCAGCCTTCCCAATCTTTGACTTTACTCGCTCACAATGTGATTTCAACAAGAGCAAGATTTTTTCCCACCATAAGGAGTATTAAAATTCAAGAAGGCAGACAACTGCCAAAACCAAAAATTTGAGACAAATAATTAGCAGCACTGTTTGTTTTAACAACTTTAATAACGTGACAAGCCACCAGTTTCCATTTCTCTTTGACTGGAGATATTACGTACAAAACTCAAACTAGAGATGTACTAATGGTGATGGAGATGAGAACAGACTCGTACAGTTCCAGGGATGAGGAAAATTTTAAAGCAATGACAGCTTAGTCAGTTGTCTGGGGACATATTCAAATATTATCCAAACAAACCAGTAAATAATTATGTTAGCCTCTTTACCCCACAATTATTATTTTGTACACTAGAGAGCTCATGAATGGGTGATGAGATTTTCTTTTGCATGAGAAAAAACTTAAACAAAATTTCATTGGGACATGTACAGCAGCATCATCATGTAAGCAGCCTCATTTTTCTTTACAAAATTGATCACAAGCAATAGAAAGAAGAAACAATAATGTGAGTGGTCAGACCACAAATTCTTTTTCACATTCTCTAATTCCAAATATAAACAAAAAAAACTAGCATGTTATTAGGAGTGACTTTGGTCACACTACGCCTTGGCTGCTGCTTCTGCATCTCCAACCTGCAAGGAAACAAATGCACACTCTAGTCAACAGCTTATCAACTTTAACGTGATCAAATTAACTCCCCCCGCCCCCAAAAAAGAAACTACCAAACAGCTTCATGTACACGTAAGCCCACAAAAGGAAACAATAATAAATGCAACAGAGTCAACCCTACAAGTTTGACAACTCATCGTAAGTAGTCACCTCTCAAAAGCAACCACCTATCCAAAGTCAGTCAATGCTGTGCTCTAGTAGAGCCTGGTGGCCCCCAGTGCCTAACTCTTGCTTTGGGGCAACTAGAAAATCTTAGTTTTTCATACAAATCATATGCTGGGCACCCTGGATTTCACAGGTTCCGAGCCCTATGGTCCCTTTAATCTTTCTTAGAGCACAGCCTTGTCACTTTTCCTGTTCAAAGAACTATTAGTTGTACTCTCTCATAATGGGCCATTTGCATAATATTAGCACCATTTTACTTCCACTCAGGGCTTGAAAAAAACTTGAATTCCAGCTTGTCCTTTGGGCAAGTACCTGTCACATTTTGCTTGCCCAGGGCCACTTCTTACTTGTCAATGATTTTGTTAGAGGATGACTTTCCTGGACGCATAAGCTTTAAAAGTTACTGCCCACCAAGAAAATCTGCTTGTCCCAGACTACTGCACAGGGTTTTTTTCTGAGCCCTGAGCCCTGTTAGTACCAGAAAAGTTCAGATTTTTTGCTCTCTTGTGCAAGCTATGGCTTTTAATTTTCAATTTTAACAACAATGTGTGAAGGTTGATGGTTTATAGCCGAGTAAATATACAAAGTCAGGCATATGATTATCAACTTTTGAAACAGGTGCACACTATACACCTGTAAATACAGTATACAATGATTAAGAGAGAGTTGAACAGCTGGCAGGTTCTTTAGGATCCATTTTTATTTTGTTGTCTACATAAATAGCCAAGGGTCTTGCTCAAAGTAACCAAGGGTGATCCCCAGCCCAAAGCCCTTAGTGACTGCCCTGGACTTAACATTTTAAATCTCTACCAGTTATCATTTTAATACATCATACCATGGAGGGTCCGTTAGCAAGATTCTTTGGTAGTAATTTCTCGTCACCATCGATGGGGTAATCAACCCAGGCTCTTGTGCGACCACCTCTACTACCCCCTCTATATCCTCCACGTCCACCTCGATTGCTGTTGTCACGTCCTTGATATCTGTATCCACCACGGCCACCTCTATATCCTCCACGACCTCTGCCTCTACCACGTCCCCCTCGTCGCATACCACCTGCAGCTCCAAATGTTTCCATATTTACCTTGCGCTCTTGCTGCCATGAAGGATGTGCCCTAAATAAAGGCAAGATGAAAAGGTTGTTCACATTGCCTGCCCCCAGTGAAGCTTACAACCCATACAGATTAAGGGACTGGGTGCTCTCCATTTTACCAAACAGACAGGTCAGAAACCAGTCACTTACCACGAAAAAATGGAACAACTTAGTATTTGATTTAAGCAAAGTTTTCATCTGGATTGAAGCGCTCTATTAACCTTTTATCTGAATGGCTCTTAAAAATAGGTCACATTTTATAATCACCTTCTATTTCGGTCTCTATCATTTGCCTCACAAGAGATACTGTCAAAAAAGGACTTGGAGCTGTCATAATAAGAGGTTGGTGTTTGAGGTTTGTCTTGGAGATCCTCACTATTTGATGAACTGTTCCCTTTATTTTCAACCTGAAAAAAAAAAATTCATTTCTGTTAGAAATGTTGAACATTTCCATCAAAATAATTTATTACAAGTAAGAAAAGACCAACAGAACTTATGTACACTGCATGCATTTTTTTGTGGAAATGTGCCATTTGACAGTCATTCCAGACAGCAGCATTTTGTAGTGAAATCAAAGCGGTTCATATGGATGGTTCAGGGGCAATACATGAAAATTCTTACTTAGGGAGCTTAAAGGCCCCTTCTTCATAAGAATAGTGGTCCAGGAGCAACACAAGGGGCATAGTTATCCATACATGTCACCAAATGCTACACGGAAAAAACAACAAGACCCACACTCCAGATGATCTGTGGTTAGTACTCTGTGAATGACTCTATGAAAGTTGTTATGCGATTCAAGATTGTAGCCAAGCGCCACTGCACTGCAGATGTGCTTCACCAGCAAAGTTAAAGTCAAGTTTAAGTGCTGGGAGGTTTCTTTAGAACTGTTCTTGGAGGCTTGTATAATCAATAGATGCCTTACAGTTGGTAAAATATTGACCTCACCTTATGACAGCATTATTGAGATATCGGTGATGTTTTGAAATAAGCAATAAGGTAAGAACTATATTCCTCTCACATCCCTACCGCAGCGTGCAAAGAAAGTAGTGTCTGATAGCCTAGGGCTAAAGGATTTTGCTATCAGCCTAGTGAATTCTGTTTCTAACTTGCCCAACGAGCAAGTGATGTTTTATGAGGAATTCGAAGAATAGAAGAACTGAAATCAGTTCTGCTAGTCAAAAAGTTTTAGGGGCTAGTTTAAATGACATCTGGGCAAGTAAATGCTACCTTCAGCTTGCCCGAATGGCAAGCTGTAAAAATGATTTTCTTTGCACCCTGCTACCACGGCACTTGCTCACCTCATCTGTAATCCGGAGATTTTCATGAAGTTTTTGTTGTAACTCTTCCTCAATCTCTTCTTTATTAAACTTGGCATTTGAACTCTCAAAGTCAAATTCACCCTCGAATTTAACAGGACCACCTCCAGGTTTTGGTTTAGAACCTCTTGTACTAGAATTTCCTCTTCTGCCTTGAGTGCGGCGATTTCCACCTTAAAAAGCAAACAAAAACAAGCAAGCAAGAATTACCACATGTCACAAAGTTTCAGCTAACAGGACTGAGTGGAGTCCAATTCAGTCGGTAACCATGTAGCAGCAATATATAACACTGCATGACCACATAGTGGGAGTCTGATTTGTTTAATCAGAAATATGATTGAGGACTGAATTGGACAACACAAAGTCCTGTTATTATCATTAACTGTAACTACAGTGTATAACAAAAACATGTCATTATCTAAACTTTTTTTAAAAAATTGAAACACAACATCTTTCGAAAGCTTTTTGCTCGAAATGAAAAAAAAAAGACCATTCAAGCACGTACAATGGTGCACACTGTCCAACTATTACTGCCGCACAAGGCATACTGTCCTATTAAAGTATTCTTTTGATGCTGAAATCAGCGCTCCTGATAGTCAGTCAAATCTGAGAATTGTGTGACAGTTATGATTAGCCAAGAAACTGCCTTGCTACTGCTTATGAGCAAATCATTAATTATAGCAAACCATTTATCAAAAAAACTTAAGCAATGTGATAATTCATTACGGAAAATGATGGTCCAAAGAAATAATATGGCCGACAACCTACGCGAGGATGTAAAAATAAAGCATCACCACCAACTTTTTGATACCTTGTCTCTGCTTCTGTGGCTCAGCTGGAGTTTGGTTCCCTCCAGTGGCTTCTTTGCTGCTAGTGGTCTCTTTCTCTTCTTTTTTAACCTCTGGTTTCTTTTTTGACTCTAGTGGTTGCTCAGTCTTGTCCTCTGAATTTCTTCTTGATGAAGGTCTTGAGGATGGTTTCTTTTTTGTTTGAACAGTTTGAGTTCCTTGCTGTGATGTGGTTCTGCTACGAGATTCATTTCCCTGGCTTTCTGCAGATTTGGTGCTTGATGACCCAGGTAACACAGAATCGGGAGATGGAGAATGACCTCTGGACAAAGGCATAGGGGGAATTGCAGGTGGTGTTCCTATCCGTTGAGGCATTACTGCTGGAGGTGGCATCATACCCATGGGTGGCTGTATGTGACCTGGCATAGGTCTCTGTGGGATGCCAGGTGGATAGCCCCCGTACGATGGTACACCTCCAAATGGACCATAACTAGGTACATGAGGGTATGATACAGGGGTGTGAAAATGAGAATAACCACTTGGCAGTCCAGTCTGGTAAAAAAAAAGAAACGAACATGTAATGTGAAAACAGTATTTGCCAAAAGGGACACATGTCAATGGGGAATTAAAAACATTGCAAGAATAGCCCGTGTTTGATATTATTAAAATTTGACCCTGAGGCTTTCTGGTCATTTCTCTATATTTGGTTTCGATTTCTTTGTGCTCAAGTCTTGTCTTGGAATTGTGTGTCAACAGAGTCATGGAAACTTTGCAATCTTGACCCCAAAGCCTCAAAGCCATGTAAGAATAATGATTTTAATATGCTGAATGTCAGCCTGTTTTGGCGGGGAGGGGGAGGGGGGGCATGTGCAGCTGGTCTCTCAGAACCCCTACCCCATTATAGTCTATTCTGTGGGCAAATATACACCCCATCTTAGTCACTTTTGGGAAAATGTTATTTTTGAGATCCCAACTTAGTAACTTTCTGTTTATGCATCTACTTTGGAATTGACACATTTGTTAAATTTAATGTGGTAAAAGTCCTACCTACCTGAATTTTCTGATCCCCCAAACCCCGAAAATGTGCGACCCCATTCTAGCAACTCTCATGAAAATGCAACCCCATAATAATCAATCCAGCCATGGAAATGTGACCCCATATGGCGGCACATCCCCATTAGCCTATTACTAGGAAGTACCCCGCATCCCAGGGCACTAACTATAAATTATTTCAATTTAATGAAATTGTTATGAAATTTGTATCGAAACCACTTGAATCAAAACGACTGGTTTCTGCCTGAGCTAGATGTAGCCTGCGAAAACATCCGTTTCTCCTCGCTCTTCGCCACCGGGGACGTTTCGCAAGGAGGAACGTCTGCGACTCAGCTGCAGAAATTCGATACTGATGACGCAAACCAATGTTTACATAACAAATCCAGTAGTCATGGGGTTTTAAATGTAAATTTGTCCATTTTAAATACGCGTCTTCTGGTCGATTTTGGTAAAGTGTTGTGTTCATCTACCAACGAGCTCCAGCAAAACTCCAATGCTTCTGCTAGAGAAGACTATATTCCACAAAATTTATATTGACTGTTTTGTTAGAAATTCTTCGTGTTTACATTCGACCTTTGTGGCCTTTTGTCTTTTGTCTGTCGTTCGAAAACAACAGCTCAAACAATGTAACTACTCCGTCGACCAATCAGCACTTCTGACTGGATTCCGGACAGATTTTGCGTCATCAGTATGGAATTTCTGTTGCTGAGTCGCAGACGTTCCTCCGCGTGAAACGTCCCCATTGGCGAAGAGCGAGGAGAAACGGATGTTTTCGCAGGCTAAGCTAGATGAAATTTGATAACAGTGGTTGTTTATGGGGTAGGGAATTTGCCACCACAATAGTAGAGGGGTACAGGCAGGAATGATTGTCTCAATTTTTGGTGTGTGACAAATGCCAATAGGCAGGTAAATGTGATCAACAAAAAAATTTGGCAAATTATTATGAAAACTATTTTCAGGGTTAAAGAGGAATTCACGGTAAATACACAGTATTGTTCATGGTATAACTACAGAATACAGGGCAACTTTTTTAGAATGATATTCTTTTCAGTGACTCTTCAAAAGTTCAAAGTGACAAATGGCCTGAGTCATGTTTTTAATACAACAGCTTCAAATTGAGCACAATATGTTCCTTTTGACGACCATGAACGTCTCTTTGAAGGATGAAAAATCTTACAAATAAAGACTGAAGTAAAAAATAAATAAGTTGAACGAACGCAAGAACACTAAATCGTTGTTGTTTGTATTTTGTACATGTAGAAAACCGGAACCAGACGTTCTTAAATGTCACTTCTAAACAATCGATACAATTTCCGTTTTGTTTCAATGTGCAACTTGAACAAGTATGTACCTGAACAATGGCTGGGTCCTGAGGTGGCTGCGAGTTAATTTGCTCTTCCCTCTTGGGTTCGCCAACAGTCAAGTCTTTTATGTCCTGTCCTCTAAAGACAATAAACTCATATTTTTCGTTCCTTGGAGCTATGTATTTTTCTACTTCCCTGTCTTCTGTCCCAAGTGAACGAACTGTAAAATGAGGAGAGGAAGTTCAATTATATATAATCTCGCTCGAGAAAACAGGTGAAAAAAAAATAACACTAACGTAGAAATAAGAGAAAGAGAAACTAACCACTCGCTAACGTCACTGTAGCTTCCTTTGTGTCGATAGCGTACAAAATTCCCTCATATCTAATTTCTGACTTAGAAATTAAGCTTATCTTAGTGCCAATGTACGGTGTTCCCGAAGTCATCTTCAGGGACACGAAAAAATACAAGGATGGTGCAGGATGACGAAGATAACAATGCAAACAGCCTTGACAAAAATATGGCGGGCCTGGGAGACTGTTTTCCTTCTCTCGGAAGTGTGGGAAATGACGTCACCCACTGGACAAGATTGGTGATAGCATATACGAAGAGAGTTTTTTTACAGGTAAAACAGCTGGTCACAGTTAATGCAAGCTCGTAACAAAATGGCGCTTTCCAGTGAGAGCGTGAAACAACTGCAGAAAACCACTGTTTCTTGGTTCGAATTCTTGTTTGATACTTCTGGAAATGCTTTAAAGAAACATTTAGAGAGTGCATTTGCAGGTTTGATGTTTATTATTTATTCGTGCCGTAAGATAGCTGAGTGGTTTAGTACGCGGTTTCCCGGGTTCAAACCCTCGCTCTAGCTATCGGCCACAAGCTGGATTTGTTTCTTCATAGTCCAGCGTTTAAGGCAATTTTTTTAAGCAATCCAATTATTTCACCTTTTTTTAACCTGTTATGCTTAATTCGAGTAAAGTCGCTTTTCCTATGGCACAATGATAAATAGAATGTATGACAGCACTCCCCTCTGAGTACTTTAGACTAAATGCATGTGAACCAGAAGCTTTGCTCTTCATACAATCAATTTTCCACAAAGGATACCTTTTCCTAGAACAAGATACCCTGATTTCTTTCCCAGACTGAACTTCCAAAACACCGTATTCTTCACAGCGGCACATACTTATGGGCCGTCGACATATTCACTTTTGCTCCTCTTAACGTCAACGGGATGTTGAGTTCAGACCCCCCCTCCCCTCTCCCCCCTCTCCTTAACGTCCACTGCATTCCAAAATGAATACTGACATGCACTTACCCGTGAAGATGTAAACGGTATCAACACAATTAACTGCACAATATTATTCTCCTATAACTATATAACTGCTTTTTCCCATTGATACTTGATTTTCTATTACACATTACATACATGTATTCAGAGGTCAAAGTGAGAATCGTAGGCACATGGCTGCCATGTTTTGAAGGCATATATGGTATTGAAAAAAGATTCCATTTGTGTTCACAAATGTGTTTCCAACATCAGCAAACTAACCATAATTTTTAGTATTGTATAAATTCATTGGTGATTTAGGATAGAATTTTAAAAGATCTCAATGTAAAATGTACAATTGGTCCTGCTTTCTCTTAAATAATATCACAAGCGCTGTTCCACACTGCACATGACATGAAATTTATGAAAATGCATCAGTTTGCTTTTGTCCAAAAATGCCCTGCACTAACATCCACTACCTTACCCTCTCCTCTCTGAACCTCCAGTTGATGTTAAGCATGGAAAAAGTTAATATTATGTTGATGGCCTCTTATATGCCCCATAGATAGCAGCTCCTCCCTTTGATGGGTAAAAGCGACAGCAAAAATACATCGAATATATTTAAGAGATAGAGGAAAGAAAAAGTGGAAGAAAATGCTCAGTGATTGGCATAGCAGACCATATAACATTGAATGTCTAGATGTATCAATGAATGGACTGGATATTCTGCTATTCATAAACTCTCTTTATAATTATATTTTTGCCAAAAGCTCATTAGTTTTGTTGAATTTGTTACAGTTACGAGAGCAACCACCTCTCTCTTTTAAACACCTTCATCTATTAAAAGCCCCTCTTTTACCCCTAAAAATTAAGTAAACGTGCCTGGTATCTATGAGATCATTTACGGTATACACTTTTGATTGCAACACAACTTAAAAGGCCTAATAGAAGAGTATGACCCTACCTTACATACTACTTTTTATTATTATGTTAAAATGGAGCTGGTATAGACACATGTATGACAGAAAGTAGCTGCTGTGGGAAATTTTGTAAATAAGAAAATGGAAAAGGTCAGCAGCTATTGTGACATATAACTTTCAACTCAAACAAAAAATAAGTTTAATATGGCAACTAACTGTGGCTGAATGATATTTTTCTTCGTAGAACCATCTGCAACTCAACTTATTGTCCAATTTCTGGAGCGGTCTGGACTGGGGAGTATTAACTTGGTAGAGTGTTTATTATAAGATATGATAGAGTTATTTTTTACAAAGCTGTGCAAGTTTAACATGTCAATATTTTTATCTATATTCTTACCTCGGCAACCAAAAAGGTCCCAGCTATGAGCACTAAAGTTGTTTGTTCTAAAATGTATGTCACACACTTCACCTTGTGTTGTTACTTTAATTTTAATCCTTGTGCTAGAATTTTTATTGATAAAATAAGTAAATTTATCAACTAATTGACATTTCATTTTCCTGGATGCTCACCTTTTTATATATTTTAGAATACTGGACCATCTGAAGTTCCACCAGGTGAAAACAAAAGGTCCCGTTGTCTTTCCCAGTTAGCATTGAGGGTTGCTGCGTTCTTAAAATGGAATTTGGAAATCTTAGAAGACAAGTAAGTTCTAAATGTTTTGTCCTTAAATTATTAACTTTTTTTGCGAGTGTATTAAGTTAGTGTGCCTGATTGTGGGTAAAAGGACCTACATGCATTAAAGGAGTAACGTATTTTCTCTCATACTGTCCCTAATATGTAAAATTATTATTGTATGTGTGCATGGGCAGTCTCTTAGCTTATACATTAAAGGGCGTGTCTTTTTCCCCAATATAAATTTTCCGTAATATGTGATTTAAGACAGCAGATTAGTAAAAAAAAAAATCAGGCGTACAGTGTGAAGTTTTTACTTAGTAACACACAAGAATGACCCCAGTTTTTCTATTGTTATTTTTACTTGCAGCCTCTCTCTTCATTGGCAAAACATTCTGTTAGATGAACTTATAAAATCAGACACATCAATACAGGGAGTAAGTTAAATTGAGCAATAACTTCAACCTTTAGTGAAGTGCATACCTGCTTATCAAACCCTCTACCAGTTATGTCCTGTAGAGCTTTTTCCTAGGAAAATAATCTTTACACTGATAGCTATAGCCATCCAGTTATGTTATAATAAATTATTATTTTTATCTGTTTGGGGCATCCTCTGTTTTCAACTCCCAGTTTTCTATTAGATCTTCCCACATTCAACACTTTTTTCAAATGACTATCCTTTTAGAAAAAAAAAATAATTGTGGTTATGATTTGGTTATAACTTCAGGCAATGCAAAGTGAAATAGACATAAGCAGCTTGGATAAAAAGTCTGCAATGACGCTTATCATTTACTACAGATGGTAGGGATTTATTTGCATCATTTCTGTTGTTATTGTTGTTTAATTTGTAAGGATAGCAAGCATTCAAAGGACTGCTGAATAATATTAATTTGTTATTTTTGGCATGTTTTATGTGGTCATTTGCTGTATCCAGAGTGAGTGAATCACAATTTTGCTTGATTGTACATGACTGTTTATGCATTAAAGTTTTGGTTAAATTTTATCCTTTGGTCAAATTTAATTTCTTTTTGTTTCAAATCGGAGGCAGCGTGGCTGAGCGGTTAGAACGCTGGACTCGTAATCCGGTGGCCCTGAGTTCAAGTCCCGCCCTGACCGCTAGCTGATTTTGTTCTTTGTGGTCCCAAGTTCAAATCCTCGGCCACGCTTGTAAATAGCCAACTGGTTCACCTCCTACCAGTTGTGATTCTTAAACACATTATGTTTTATTTGAATTATTGTTTCATTATCCCTGAAAAGCCCAATAAAGGGAGTGGATAATTAAGTATTTATTATTATTATTTATATTATTGTCATTATTATCATTCATTATCATACATAACCCTGCCCTAAAACAAAGGGAAATGAAATTTGAATGAAGGATAAAATTGAACTACAACAAATACAAGTTTTCCAAGCATGCTTTTTGACAATCAACAAAGAATTTTGGCACTCAAAAGAATATCGTGCCAGGGCTGCAAATAATGGACAACAGGTGGCCGGTCATGATGACCGGCCAAATATTTTTTAGCCCGGACAAGCCCAGATTCTGGCCGGTCAAATAATGAATACTACTAATTTTTTTTTGCCTAGGGAATATCCAATTATGCTGGCAATAGATCGTTATCATTACTACATTGACGTTCACATTTTTGACAGCAAATTGGTGAAAAATGCATTCGCACGTTGTAGAGTTCCTTTCCGTGGTTTTCACGCGTTTTAATGTTACGTTCTACCTTGAGTATCATTGCATGGCGGTGTCTGAAGTCTCTAGAGGTAAAAAGTGAAGCGTAAATCCTTTTCAAACTCCCAAGGTTCAGGAAACTGAATACACATACAGTTCAGCAAACTTTAGAAATTACAAAAAAAACCCAAAAAATTGGGTTATTTTACAAAATCTGCACGCGCTTGTTTTACGTTGATGTTCCGAAATGAACATCGGTGAAACTTGATTTTTTTCCTTGCCTGGCATGTGATCGAAAGTCACTTCCTCAAAGAAGAATCGTCGCTGATATTTTCGGCAAAGAAGTTGATTTGCATTGGCGAGAAGTTTGTTCCACAAACAGCGTGTTGATGATCAGAAGTCAATAAATAAATTTGGCGGGTCATCGCGCAACATTTTATCGCGAAGGGCTCAATTGTCAACAGAAATTTGCATAAAGTTGTTTACAAGAACGAGAATCTAGCGCCGCGATAGACGACGACCTTCCCTCTTGAGTAGCTTAAATTTTTATCAGACCATTCTGGTATCGAGTCTGCAAACGAGATTCATGTTTGGCATAAAAGAAATTATTATTAATCGATGCGCTAACATTTATTTCCAGAGAAACACAGGACGACCTGTTGAGAATTGCGATCGATTTGCCTGAATTCCTTCAAATTCCCAAAGAAGGTAACATTGCTGATTACAGCAAAGCCAAAAGTACAGTGCGACTTGCAACGTTGCGTTACTTTCCAACTCAGTTTGCTTTTCAATTTAATTTATTGCGGCGTTCTTTTTCTTAGAAGGGTTTAGTGCAAAGCAGCAAAAAAAGCCAAAGAAAAAAGAAATCATTGCAGCGTTATAGAGCATTAAGCGACAACTGTATGGAAAATATAGTGTTTGTATCCAAAAATGACTGGTCAAAATGACCGGCAAGACCGGAGTTTGACCAGTCAAGTCCGCGATCACGCCGGACATTGTCCGTTGACTGGCCGTTATTTTCAGCCCTGTCGTGCACACTTCCACACATATGATTATGGGAAGTTAAGGTGTAAATTTGGTTAAACTATTTGATACAATAATTTTCATTTTTTTTTTTGAAAAATATGTCTCTATTATTTTTGTTAGGGTGATAAGAACCCTGTCTCAACATTTCCTTCCAAATGTTGTGAAATCCAACAGCAATGGGTAGGTACAGTATTATAGAAGAATAATAAGGCAATACTTTCAAAACAGAAACAACCAATCCAAAAGAATTTAAAGGAGGAATCCAAAGTTCCTCATTACCTAAAAAAAGATTTCTTCTGGCCTTGCAAGTGTTTTTTTTAAGCTTTGAATTACATGAACCAGTAATCACTTTGAAAAGATACATGTATTAAACTGCATCTGTTAAAAAAATTAAATCGTGAAAGTTTGACACTTCTTCTATTGGTGTCAAATTATTTGAGTTGATCACCATTTCCCAGTTCGTGAATCTCTAGTTAACTGATATACATAATCATATTTATCATCATTGTTCGGGTTAACAATCCATTGTACGGTAAATCTGGTTTATCCTGAGGATGACATTATCTGTCTTTTGAACAAATTGCAAACAAGAGTGAAAGGGAGTTAGATTCTTACATAAAAAAATAGAATGAAGAGATAAATTTTATTCCTGTTTGAGGAAATAACTTCATGGCAGAGAGCATGAGCTTAATCAACCTTTTTTCAAGTCAACTTTTTTTATCTGTCACAAGAAAATGAATTATATTAGTTACAATATAGCTGTACTTGATATTTCCAGTAATCATGATTTTTATTTTCATGCTTATAATTATGTAGCCTGATCATGAGAAAACAACCGACATTTTGTGACACCACAACTGGTTTCCTCACAAAATGGCAACTGAGAAATGAGTGCAGAAATTCCATACTGATGACACATTACTAAAACCCAGATCTAGGTAGTGGGTCTGATTAGTCGAAGCAAATTTCCCTCGCGGTATGACCAATCAGAAGCACTGCCTACATCTGGATAGTGATGTGTCTTCAGTACAGAATTTCTGCTCTCCTTTCTCAGACATTATTTTGTGGGGAACCAGCACTGGTGTTGTAAAATGCTGGCCATTTTCTCAGGCTGAGCTTATATGTTACATTTTTTGGAACATTTTTAGTGCGCTAGCTGAGAACTTGGCAAATGAGAATATCTTAAGAAAGGTAAATAAGAGCATTTGAAAGACATTAAAATTAAATAATAAGTATTGTAACTTATTTAAAGCAAAGTCAGATAAAAGTTGTGTGATTCATTTATTTCAATATTTATTTCATTTTATCAATTAATTTATACAATTTACGTCATTAGCTCAAATTTTATTTTGTTAAGTATAAAAAGTTAACGGGCCCATGTGAAATTATTGCTGAAAGAAATTTTATGACTGGCTAGCTATTCTACGTGGTGAAACAATGCAGCTCTATGAATTTTTCATCGTTAGCATGATAATATTATGTCTTTCAGTCTGGTCTTTCAGTTGTCCAATCAAGTTACAAATATGTTGATTCTGAATATTGGAAGGATGTAGCAAAATTCACTCTCTGAAAATTGCCATCTGATATACCAAATAATTTTACATTTTGGAAAGAATGTATAGACTGAGTCACTAGCACTTTAGCTGATAAAAAAATATACATCGATAGAGCTGCATCTTGCACATGGAGAATGTTGTATAACAAGTTTTATCTTAGCTTTGAAGTCAATTTGTTATCATGAAAATCTAGCAGTTTGACTTTCCTGTGAACTGTTTTTTGTCATAATCAGGCAAACTTTTGATTATAGCATCTGCAAAGATTTCACCTACAGTTGAACTTCAATGTAACAAACCTGTATATAATAAAGTCCTCGGTATAACAAACAAGTTTCTTTACCCCAATAATAGTAAAGTATGTGAAAAAGAACCTTGATATAACGAAACCTTGTTATAGCTAAAACAAATTTTGGCAGTCCCTTTGCTACATCGAGGTTCTACTGTATTGACTAAAGAGCATCCAATAAACAGCGGGTACAGGTCATGGCAGGCAAAAATATCATTTCCAGTCATCAATGAAAACCAGGGCTGTTAATACTAAGGGCCAAGGGTCAGAGATTTTCCTTGGCTACTATAAGCATGACCCTCCAGCTACCTTCATATAAAAAATAAGGAAACTAGAACCAAAAATAATTGAAATCTTAGCCCTAGGTCAAATGTTGAACTTTTCTTGAGACGAATCAACCTTAGTGAGTTAAGCTCATGAAAAGTTCAATGTCTGGCTCAGTAAAGTTCATCCGAATGAGTTCGGATCGTCTAACATGTTTTATCCATCTGCTTCAGATGGAGAGAACGTGTGAAGATCATCTCTGGGAAAAAGGTTGATCTTAACATGCGTTGAGCTAAACTATGAATTAAAAATTTGTATGATGATGTATGTTTAGCCTCGTTTCGGGAAAAATTCAGCAAAATTGCTTTTGGTCTGATTCACTTGATTGGTTTGACATGTTGAAGTTTGATGTCTGACCCAACAGACGATTTAAACTTAATTTAGGTTGTCCCAAATTTGAGTTTGGTTCATCTCATAAAAAGTTCTACGTTTTGCCTACTTAAGCCTTAGTCACTGTTCTGATGTACGCAATCTTATTAACCAGCCAATCTTCCTGGAGGTTTGAATTTTGAATATGGTTCTTAGATCTCCTATCATAAATGACGTTCTTTTAAATAACACAGCTTCAAGAACAACTTCCCATTGCCATCCACATCCTCAACCAAGCACTAGAGCTAACAGAGGACATGATTCTCCCCACACCTCCCTCCTTGGTGACTGATCAACACAGAAAGGAGCAATCAGGACAGGAAAGAACTGTAAGTGAGGCTGCATCAACAAATGATGACCCTGCACAGAGCATGGAAGTTGATGGCACCACGAGTAAGACTGAGGCTGAGAATGGTTCTAATGAATCTAATAATATTTCCAACACTGGTGAAGACACTGATACTTTCTCTAACGAGATTCATAAAGTGAAAAAGGATGATATTATTGCTCAGGTATCATTTGGAACTTTATTAATTTTCTGTTTTATCATCTCCCTTCTCATAATAATACAGTGGAACCCCACTAATATGGTCACCAATGGGTCAAAAAAATTTGGCCGTATTAACGGGTGCGTACATTAACATTTATTTATTTATTTTTTTAAGAAAATGAATGGTTGTTCTGATAGGCTGGGCTGAAAAAAAGTGGACATAATAATGAGTTAACCATATTACTGAGGTTGCCGTAAGGCGGGGTTCCACTGTAATTGATTGAGGTCTTCTTGTTTGCCAGTAGTACATAACTGTAGCTAGAGTCATAGTGAGACCATCGCCAGTCAAACTAATGCATTAGGATGCATTACAGTCAAATATGCAGTATTATCAAAGCTTATTTTGATCAGAATTTATTGTAAATCACAAACTTTGTCCCTGAAACTACTGCACAGGTTGTCGAAAAGTCAGTCATTGTCAACAACAGTCTTATTCAGGCCTACACTCACCTGGAAAATCATATTCCACCTACTTATGAAGTGACTCCTGGGCTCAAACTTTTCACTGTAGTTTAACTATGACGAGAAGACACAAAATAGTGACTGTCATCAACAGTAGTCCTATTGAGGACAACACTCACTCAGACAATCTCCTTGCACCTACTCATGACATACATTCTGTTAACTGTTATTAGTTTTGTTAGGAAGCTTTTGTAGAAGGTCCCTAGTTGGCTTTTTCAGATGCGTGATTTAGCCCATTGAGGACTGGGATTGGGATTTTAGAGCAAATGGACAGCAAGATCTTATTCCATCATTTTCCAAAGTATTTGAAATTTGTTTACCACCGGGCACCTAGGATTTCTTAAGATTTCATTGAAATGTTTCCATGCTTTACAGACCAAATTCTAATTTGGAGGTGTTGGTTTTTAATAAGAGAGGAAACCAGGAGAGAACCAACAACAAAAAATTCAACCCATGTATGATGTTGATGCCAGTATTCAAACTCAGGCACCATTTCAAGGGAGGGAAGTTCCTTGCGTACCCTTGCTAATTATTAGGGAGCTTAAGCAATAATGATGTCGACGGCTACGAAAACATCGCTTAAAAAGTGAATTTGCATTGCTTCAAACTTTATTGCACTTATTCCATCATGTTTAATTCATCCAATGTTAATATTATTTTTTGGAGTTGAATTCTAAAGGACTGTATCAAAGTTAAGGAAAAGAAAAAGAAAGTTGTTGTCTTGTGTTCCCGTCCTCGACAAAATGTGAAATTAGCACTTTCAAGTTGTAGTCGTGCAATGACAGCAAAGAAATGTACAAAAAAGCGTGATTACAAAGTTGTTGTTTTTTGCCGTTCTCATTGCCATTGCCATCATCATTGCCATCATCATTGCTGAAGCTCCCTTTTATTGCTGGTTTTCCAAAGGTGAGGGAACCTAGAGCCTCTGTAAGGGGCTTTTTAAAATGAATGTTCAGAATTTGGAATAAGCCGAGAAAACCATTAGAACTACAGGATTGAGGAAAACTTTAGTGAAAAGGATGTCAGTTTTGATAAACCCTTTTCAGGGCCCTAAGTTTGCATCTTTAGTAATTGGCATTGTTTCTGTTATCAGAAAATTTACAGTTATATTTTTTTTGTTGCAGGTTTCGTTTGATTTGGCAACCCTCTACTTCTACCAAGAAAAGTTTCAGCAAGCAGTGAAGTTGTTTGAGAGCTGTAAGAATGCACAGGTATTCAATCTTTGTACTATAAAATAATACGCATTCAAGGGAGCATCATTTTCAAATGCAGAGGCGTAGTTCCTTTAAAGCATTGTGGGTAATGCTTTCCAAAAGCTTCCCCACAAGTACATGTCAATATTTGGTGTATGTATGTGGAAAAACCATGCATTATCCTTCAACTTGGGAGAAATGCAAACAAATTATTGCCAGGGATTTTTATATTATGCCTCATTGGTGAAATTTGTAAGACAAGAAAAATTGGCATAAAAATGGCAACACAGAATGTCCACATTCAATCTAACTAATTTTAAACCCATAGACCATAATACACCAAACTTGTGATGACTTAACCAAACAATTTTGTACAGTGACAGGTACATGAACAACAACAGGACACAAACTCAAACCTGAGAGGTCAGAGAGTTTGGGACTAGAGGACTTTATCCAGACTACAGTAATTATATTTCTATTGAGGCAAAATCAGGAAAAAAAACTTACTGTATGCTTAGCCAATCCCGTATTTTTTTTAATAAGGCATGCATGAACAGGCTGTGTGGTTGACCAGTTAGAGAGCTGAACCTGTAGTCAAAGAGGCCCAGAGTAGAAGTCACCCTGACCACTAGCTGGATTTGTTCACGTTAGCTTTGAGTTTAAATCCTCCTCCACGCTTGTAAAATTATAGCCAACTGCTTTGCCTCCTACAAGTTGGAATTCTTAAACTCATTATGTTCCATTTGAAATATTAAAAATTTGTTTTACTATCCATGAAAAGTCCCTTAATGGAAGAGGATATTTGTTTAATAATTTATTTGTTTAGTTATTTATTTATACATTCATTTAACTTCACAATTTTACTGAGGCAGTGGTCTTGGTTGCCTCTGTAAAGTTGCAAATCATCAGTGTCAAACCATTCATGCCTCCCTGTTTTTCAACATTGTACATGTAACTTAACTGATCATTTTGTATTATTATATTTCAGTGCTCTCAGTCATCATTTTACACTGTTAATGAAGATAAGTTGTGTGGATACTACATGGCATGTTGTGGTCTAACTGGCACTGTTCCATCCACACCAAGCGTACCTCTTCGAAATACTAAACCATCCCTTACTGTACGACTGGAGCAGTGTAGACACACAGGGTATAAGGTGATATATCTTAGTGTTCACATGCTCAAATAGATTCCATTTTGCTTTCTAATGATATGAAAATTTCTTACATGTAAGATTGAAGGAGAAAAAAACCTTAAGTGGCCAATAATCTACAGTCTGAGAACTTATTTTTCATTCTCTCTTGTAGTAAATTATCATACTCAAGAATCCTCAAGTATTATTTTCTCACCTTCTGATTCTATAGTCTTTATTCTTCTTCAATCAGTCAGATCCACTCCTTCAAAACCTTTCCGCTCTTCAAAACCAAAACCCCTGACTGTGTTCACTAGGTTGTCACTGTTACACCCAAGAAAGGGGGACCCTCTGTTTGGTCCTAAATTGTATTTGCCTTTTGATGTCTGCAAGATAATACAATAGCCATTCTATGAGACAGTTAACAGACAGCACAGAAGATAAGCTGTCACCCTGAAATATGCCCTATGGCCAGTGTGCAAAGAAAGTCGTGTCCAATAGTCTGGGGCTAGTGGATTTTGCAATTGGGGTAGTGATTTTTCTCCTTAACTTGCCCGACAGGTAAGGGCTGTTTTTTTGGGAAATTCAAATTACAGAAGGATTGTAATCAATCCTGCTGATCAAAAAGGGTTTGGGGGCTAGTTGAAATGACTTGTGGGCTAGTAGATGCTAATTACAGCTTGCCCGAATGGCAGGCTGTGAAACTGACTTTCTTTGCACCCTGCCTATGGCATTCTGATGTATTGTTCCTAGAAATATGTGTATCGCAGAGCCTCATAAAGGTCGTGAGAAAGTGGCCCAGGGAAGGAAGGGCGGGAGAGAAATAGAATAAATTGTGTAACTTGGGTGGGTGGGTTTCAACATTGGCTCAAATATTATTATTATTACTACTACTTAATTTAAAACACTGAACCGTGTGCAAGTGATATTGTGCTACCAAAAATGATCGCATCTGAGCAGCAAGGAACATATTTGGGAAATGGTTATTGACACAGTGATTGTATTTTTGTGATTAATTTTTTATATAAATTATATTTTAAGTGTTCTTATTTCAAATGTTTCTTTAATTATCTACATATTTTCAAAGTGAAATAAACATCTCATTGGTTATTATTGTTATTATTATTATTATTATTATTATTATTTTATAATCAAGAAAATGATAAATATAGCCATTAGAGCAACGTATTACATCTTTTGTTGTAGAAATAGGAGCTGGGATAGCCCAGACTTAATGCAATTTTGATTTTTTTTTTTTTGGCTTTTGTTTTGTTTTGCTTTTGTTTTTGCTTTTTTTTTCTTTTTAATAATCCAATCTCAAGCAGCATTTGTAAATTGCCTATACGTAGCGAGATTTACAATTGTACATTCAAAAACACAAAAAAAGGTTTCCATTATTATTATTATAACAACAGGCTATAAATGTAGACTGATAATATTGTTATTCTGTTTGGAAAAGTCACCTGTGTGCATTGGAATACTTAAATAAGGTATTGTTTCATGAGACATGTTTTATATTGTTGTGCCTCTGTCACAGAATATCATATCGTTGCTTTTGGAAGACAACGTCGCATTTGAACTGCCATTAGCATACAGAGAAAGTCTGGTCACAGAACTAAAAACACAAAGCCAAAGAATGGATGAAGAAGATGAAGCTACTGACAGCATAACGTTAGAGAGGCAGGCTATGGTGTGTAATATAATCAGAGAAGTGCTTGAAGGAAGACCAGCAAATACCGCATTTTGGTTATCGCTAGAAAACTGTACTGCAAAACATCTGGATCTTGTTTTCTCTGTAAGTTTTTTTTGTCCATTTTGAAACACAAGCCATCCCTTTAATGAGCAGACATCTTTTATTAAGGAGACTCAAGACTTAGGCTAGAGGAGTTTTTTCAGATTTGTGACATTAGATTTGGAACATTTTGGTTCAAGATTTCTTTTGTCGCTTATTTGCAGGTGTGTGAATCTAAAATAATGGATGTCCAGAGATTTTGAATCCTGAGTCCAGACTTAGAGTGAACACTTTTAGCCAGATGATCATTCTCAAATTTGCTAATACATCTTAATTCTAAATGTCTTTGAATTCGGATACCCTAAAAGGAAAAAACACTTACGAATCTGGAAAAATCTCCTTTAATGTAAACCTAGCCTTAGGTTTACACTAGAGGTTCATAATTTCCTCTTCCCCTGTCATATCCAAATGCCCTGCTAGCAGGTGTGGATATTTTCTGGAACCAGAGAATGCAACTCTGTAGGAACTATTCTCACATCAACAACCTTTTTGCCCAAATTGATCTCACTGTTAAAGTCATATAACAGTGTAATTCAAGAGCTATTAGTTTTTTTACGCTTGTAATGCTAGTGTTTAGGATAGTCCCATCTTGAAATCAAATCACTAGAGCTAACTATAACCTTATGTAACTTTCTCCAAGCTTTGTCTGCGATCAGTACCAGTTGAGGAAAAGTCAGCTGCTCCAAGTGTAAAAGATAGCAACAGATTCAAAGTTCTCAAGTCATTTGTCCAGTGAGTACTAAAACCATTGTTTTGGACCAGTGATATGTCACGATAGTGTGTGTCTAAGTTAAGAAAGTGGGGGCGTAAAAGGCATCATCAATGTCTTACCAGACCAATTTCAAACGGTCGCCGCCGTTCTGGCTTCTGATTGGTGCCGAAAAGTTTTTCTAATCGGCGACCGTTTGTAACTGGTCGATCCCCAAAAACTTTCCTCGCGCCCACATCTGCCCACCAAAACATCATCATTGGAAGTCTAATCAGGCTCGATCCCTAAAAAAGGCGCACACACCAAAATACCGGCTCAAGTACACTCAAAATATCAGCTGATGAACAGGTTGTTCTCTCTGTTTACTTTCTTTTCTTCAGGTTGATTTGTTGATGAACAGGTTGAATTCTCGAATTTTTTTTCTGTACAATAATTTCTTTTAGAGTTGATTCATTTCGGTGATTTCTAGTCTGTTCAGGTTGATTTGTTGTAACTGTGAATTGGTGAATGGATGGGAAACCACCCCGTTAATACGACCAACGACCACATTCTGAATTCAACCTGGCAAGAATTTTTTTAGATGATGGAGGCAAATTACAATAATTTCATTTTGATTTCATTGTTGGTGAATCGAAGGGAATGCTGACACGGAGAGTTGATTTATTTCGATGATTTCTAATTTTTTTTTCAAAAGTCTGTTAGACAATACATTGATTGACTGGATTAACGACCGGTAACTGTTAAAACGACGTGATTAATGTTGTATAATCATGTATATATTAAAGGACATTGCATCCCGGAATACGACCCCCCGTTAATACGACCAAATTTTCATGGCCCGTTGGAAAATTAACGAGATGAAAAGTAGAGATCTACTCCCTCTGAACATCTCAAGTGACTACATCATGAGACAGATTTTTCTTTACTTGTTTTCTACCACAATCACTACCATTTTGTAGACGGACCTTAAGTAAATGTTTAGAATTAGGCTTGAATAAACAATCTGTAAATCTATTGCATTTGTGTATATTTAGAGACGTTAAGAGGTTCGTACACGGTGACTGGCCCACATGTCTCAAGATTTGAATGGATCTTTTAAAAGCATGAAATTTCAGTATTATAGAGTTGTATTTACCCAGCAAATGGACACTTGTCAAGATCATATTGGGAATGTGACTTGGGAACATTCTTTTCCTTTAGTAGAACAGTTAGCAAACAAAGGTTTAAAAATCCCCTCAAAGTGATCAGTTGTTTACCTGTATTCTGCCTACTTGTTTTACCTTAAGACTTAGCTAGGCCTATTAATACAAAACTAATGCAAGTTCTGAGTCTCAAAAATAAGATATACCCGTAAATTTCAATACTCGTTATTTTTATGGTTTTATTTTTAGGATGAAGCTATGGACGTGGCCGAGAACACATCAAATCAAACTGAACCAGATGATCTATCTTGGATTCCAGTAAATGCACAGTGCAGTACTGAAGGTAAAATGCTTCCTTCAAGGAAAAGTAAGTTGATTCAGTGTAGTGTAGTTGACTGTTTGGCTTAATAGGAATAGTTATCCTCAATAAAGTTAGGTATTGCTGATTATTATTCCTTTAAAATATTTAACCGTTTCTGTTTGGCTCAATTTCTCGACTAATTCTTCATAACCATCCAGGGCTTACTAAGTTTAAAAGATGCGAGCAATGTACCAGCGATAGGATGGTATATAACCCCAGTACTGTATATAATCACAACCGTGTTTGTACTCAAAAAAATGCAAAAAGGTCACGGTTTCCCGACGGCGAAATGGCAGAATTACCGACAAAATTTAACGGAACAAATGTAAGAACCCTCAAAAATTTTCGCTTGGTGAATGACAGCAACCTTTTAAGGAATGTCTGCAGCAAAAAAGCACTTGCCTTTGGCCTCGGTGGATGACATCCTCCATCATCTGCATAATTCTTCAGGTCATAATGAGCCTTATTCAACTCATTCAATAATTTGTTAAATATGTGAGCTCTGCTGCTACAATTTTAGTTATGATTTTGCGTTAGTCATAGTGATTTCGCTGTATGTTCTAGCAGCTGCAACAGGACAAGAGAGCGTTGAGCTAAAGAGAGGCTTTCTTTTTGATAAGCTGCGACACACAGTTGATCCTGATGAGATCAGCACCCTGGTCGAACAGCTTCACCAACTTGAGAAAGGAAGACGGTTCTCAGAGGTAATGCTATTTTATCTCTTTCGCTGTTTGAATCCCTGGAGCAAACCTTGCTTTTTGACCAAAAAATAATGCCTCTAGACTTTACATAATATTCGTTAGCTGATTTTAATTCCGCGTCTGTCTATGTATCTAATTTGGCCGGAAGTTCTCTTTTTCTGAAACTGTTTCCAGTCCGGTGTCCCTTAGGTTGTCAATGAAGGTGAAGTAGGTGGTTTCAAGTCCTTCTTGCTGGCTGCCACAGCGCTGCATTAGAAGCTTTATCCTTGCCATTGACCTTTCCCATTTCAGTTCATTTGAAGCCACATAATTTTCCACAAATACCTCCTTCTTACGGCTGTTTTAGAGTGTCAATGTCAGAAAACAGTTGATCACCGGTTACAGTGCCGAATTGTGGAAACTCCCTAAGATACGTCATAAGCACTGTTTCTTAGCAATGGCCAGTTGTTATGAGATACCTTACCGCTTAACTTTGGGTAAGTTCAATTGATTGTATTCCGAAATAGGAATAAGCAAACGTTTTGTTAAAAATCTCTTCTAACCGTGATTTTCGGACTCTACATACATCAGGAATTATTTACGCCCAGCAGATTTCTAGATATTGCAGTGCATGCAACGAATACCAAAAGAAGTGATTTCTGGCTTTTTCCCTTTCCAATCTTGTTCCAGAACTCACCCTTAAAAGATGACATGATGAATATGACCCTTAGTCGCCCTCTCCAACCACTTCTTGACACTATCAGCTTTAAATCAATGATAACTAATTTTGTTTCTTTTTTCGCTGAAGGAATTTGCGTGCTTACTCTACAAGAGCCATTTAGAGGAGATTAAAAATCTTCAGCAGCAGGATATACTTCATATTCTCTTCTCTAAAGCTATACACTGTTCAGCCATTAAGGTAATTTACTCCACAGCTGTAGGGCAATTTAAAAAAGTAACTGTCCTAAAACCATTATGTTAGCAAAAGTAGATGAAGCCTGCGCCCGACACGAAAATCTCGTGTGAGTGGCTAGTACAACTACCTTATTGGTACTAAATTTCGCGGGTCTTTATTTCGCGTTTTTCGCGATTGTAAAGTGAAAATCGCGAAAATAAAGACCCGCGAAAATAAATCCTCGCGGAAATTAAATACTCATATAGAAAATTCGAATCAACTTGGATTCTGTCCTTCAGAATTTATATTCAGGAATATTCGCTTACATTTGTCAAATTGGGCGAGTGAGGTTAAGCAAACATGACAGAGTTGAAAAAACGCGCTTGAAATTCATTTTGGAAGTAACGTTTTCTTTGCCTGCGTTGTCGCGCTTGCTTATAAATCTCGTGCTGTGGTACTGTGCATTTATCAAGAAATGATCTATTGTGCCAACCTAAATTTGCCCATCAAGAGTGACCGTATAGCAGCATTAACAGGAATGATAAATAAACCAGGGCTTATATCCAAGTTATTTGACGTTACTTTTCCTCTAGGAATATAGCAAGGCCTCTCAGCTTCTGTCCTATGCTCTTGGGATGGTAAACACTGTTGCTGGAAGGGGTGCAGTGAACCCTACACTGGAGAGAGTCAAGGCTGCAATTCATCAAGAACTTCTTGTTCTTGATATTTCTAATGAGTCAAACAGCAAAAGGTATCTTTATAATCCTTACAAATATTGCTTAAGGGACACTCAGGCTTGCGGCAAACAATTTGATAATCGCTGGTGATTAATGTCTCTGTAATTCAAGTCAGGAGTATTCCATAGTCTAGTCTACAGTGTTGAAGTCCTTAGAATGTCCTTTTTTTGGTCAAAGACGAAAGAATTCTTCAATAAAAAAGTGACCAAAAGAAGTGAAAAAAAGTGAATCCGCAACTTTTTCTTTCGCGAATTCCGGATTTATAAATTTCCACGTCCACACGTATCTGTATTCAAATGATTCACTCTAGTACCCAGGACACCTCTGGGAATATTGGCAACAGAGCTTGCGTCGTAAAGCGCGCGAAATTTGCATCTTGCTCTGCCTTTCACGTTAAAGAACTGGGCTTGATTTTGTTACATCACCGGATAAAAAGACATATCCGGATTTAGCGTCCGCACGATTCCGGATTCATAGCGTATTCAAAAATTTCCACTCTGGAGAGCGGGTTCAAAAAGGTGCGGATTCGTATGCCGGATTCACCGGATACGTATGGACGGAAGCCGAATCTGCAAAGAAAAAGTTGCGGACTCATAAAAACGTTGCATAAGACATTTCAAAGAGGGAAGGTTCAGTCAAGTTTCAAAACATATGGAATGATCAAGATCCATTAGAATTTATATTGAGAAGGATGACAATTTTTTTTCTTGTGATTTTTTTTTTAGATTAGATGAGATAACTAACAGGGTCAAGTCTTACATGTGGCAAACTGCTCCAGGTGATTAAAAGTAAAACGATGTCCATTAGCGCAGTGTTCAGTCAACTGTCAAAGTTATCTGTGACTTCCTTTGTTTCCACAAAATACCCCAGCCTTAAGCTGATACTCCTTCCGTTTCACTACTGCTGTGCACTCATTTCCAGTCTCTTGGGTATTTTTTATTTTAAGTGATACATGCTGTTTTCCGGGTCCCAGTTTTTTAAATAATAAACGATGATATCCATGGGATAAATCTCTATTCATCAGTCAAGAATGAAATTTGTCTCCCTAATTCTCATCCAATGGATATTTAGCAATATATCTGATGTTGAGCACTGTCCAGTTTTTTAATAATAAAGAGTTTTAGATTCTGCATGAGACGAGAACGATTACGAAAACGAGATTTTCGCAATACTGAGTATTACTCACGCGTGAACCAGCGTCATTTTGGCGGGAAAAGGTGATAGCCGTCGTCATTCTACTACGAGTTTTTGCGAGAATGTCGTAGTGGCGAGAACAAAATGTAAGTCATCAAATGTAAGAAGTTTTATCATTTTGCGATCGGTAGAGGGCGTAACCTCCTTGCCGTTGGAGAGAATGTATGAGAACCACTAAAATTGGGCCTTATCTCAGGTTACCTTCAATGCAAATAACCGTACTAACTGTTTTGGTGAAAAAAAAAGTAAAATGAAGCTTTCCGGGGTGTCTTTTTTTTGAAAACGCGCAAAACATTTAAGTTAAATCTCGCACTCGTACTCGTTTTTGTCCCCACATCTCAAGGTGATGCTACACGGGACGATTCGCAACGACGATTTTTAGCGCGACACGGAGTCGCAATGCTGGAACGATGTTGCAAACATTCGAAACAACGTTGTAACAATGTTGCAACCCTGTGTTGCGCTCAAAATCGTCGTTGCGAATCGTCTCGTGTAACATCACCTTCAAGCTCTCTAGTAACCTGGGGCTGGAGAAAGAGATGAAGATTTCAAGGGATTCGCGGAAGGAAGAAATAAAAGAAGGGACTCTCCCCAGCTTTCGTCTCGCTTCCCGTGATGTAACGCTTCTCATCGAATACAATCCCAGGAACGACTGGTAACGGGTCTCTTACTGAATTGTTGTTGTTTGCTCTAAAGGGGCGGCAGAAAATCATATTGAGGAGCAGGTGAATGCCTTTCTGTTAAATGCCAAGGAATGGGAACTGCTGTCAGAAATAAGGGTAGATGAAAACACACAAACATTGGATTATAGATCTGTAAGTATTTACAGATACTATCGGTAGCAGTTTTTAACATTTTTGAGGGAATGCCATTACTTGACACGTTAAATTAGCTGGGCATTTCTGATACCTAGGAAATCCCAGTCAAACCTCTTTCTATTCCAGAAACCTCACCCATGTAACAGGTAATAGGAGCTTAAGCAACAAGGACGACGACGGCAGACTTTATGGCGTCTATCTGGAACCGCTCAATTCGTCAAATGTAGGCGGCTTTTCCTGGAGTTGAATTCTTAAGGGCTTTATCCATGTTCAAATAGAGAAAGAAAAATCTGTCGTCGTATGTCCACGTCCTCCACAAAACGTCGCATTGGAAGGTTTCACGTCGTAGTCAAACAGTGGACGTCAAAGAAATGTACTAAAAAGCGTGATGCACCTGCAGAGCTGTTGTTTTGCTCATAAAACCAATTGTTTTTTGACGTTGTCGTCGTCGTAGTTACTTAAGCCTCCCAATACTAGTGGAAGAGATCGTAGGGGTAGATCCCGGTAACTGGTACTGCCTTTGCTTTATGGGGATTGGTAACATGTTCTGCATCATACAGTTACAGTTACTTTTTGCTAAGTATCTCATCATGGCAAAACAATAAACTTTAACTTGTCACTTAGCTCCTTTTCTGTGCTCCCTATCAAATGCAAAACTACTGAGGGTGAAGGGTAAAGTCCATCATCGTAATTCTGTTGTATTTTTCTTTCTTATCTAGCTTAGTAGTCTGTTGGCATCAATGTGTTACTTCCTGTCTAAACCGAAGGAATGGAGGAAACCTGCCAGAAGTCTTTGGGATGGTGGTGAGTGCATTTTGTGCATGGGATGGTGGGGATTTAAAACTGTGCATAGGACGGTGGAGAACAAAAATTGTCCATGGGATGGTGGGAAATGAAATCTGTGCATGGGATGATGGGGAATGAAAGCAGTGCATGAAGTGGTGATGAATAACAACTGTTCTTGGGATGGTGACGAGTGCTCGTTGTGCATGCTGTATCCTTCCCTTATTTGTAAATTTTCTTGTTATTGTAGTTCTGAAGATATTTAGTAGCAACAACACGGTACAACAAAAAAGGCCTGCTGATGGAACACAAGGAGCTGGAGCAGTAAAACTGTAAGAACTGCCTCAGTGTTTAATAAATTCTTACCTTCTGAAGCAAATGACATTTTAATGCATTAATGTAGAATATGCCTCTTATTATATTTTTCAGGACAAATCTTATTCACTTTGTTCGAAAACTTAAGGTAACAACTGAACTACAACAAGTACCCTGCAAAACGATGTTGGCTTTTTCTTTCTAAACCTGATATTGCTAGTGGATTTCTTAGTATGCAAATATCTTTTTTCCCAGGAGGAGACGGTTCTTACTGTGTTGATTTCATGTTTAGTGAGGCTACGAAATGCTTCTAAGAAGGTTTGTACATCGCAGTAAAATGATAATGATTTTTCAGTTCGATTGTTGTTTTGCAAAGGATTTGCTACTACTAGTTGTTACTACGCTTAAGTTTTTCTGCCTAAAAGTGGATTGGGGTCAATCAGTTTATCCTCATTTTCATTTTCAAGAATGGCGAGGCCAACAATCAAAGAGAAATATCCAGCTCGCACAGCCATCTGTGGCCCACAGCCATTACAAAGTAAGTTGCTTGATTTACCCAACTGCCCTCCAACCTCTTCCCCTTTTCTCAAGACTCTAGAGTTACGGAAAAATGGTGACTTAAATGGATGCAAGATGTGGTTTTCACCTTTTGCTCAGCGCCCGAAAATTACTTTATAGTTTTCAAGTACAGTGGAACCTCTATTCAGGGGACACTGTCGGGACCGACGAAAGTGTCCCTTGAATAGATGTGTCCCCTGAATAGAGGCTGGGCTTGGTCTTAATAAACAACCAACAAAGACGATATAAAAATGATCATCAATAACTTATCTCTGTTGAATCCGCACAAACTTTGTTTAATCCTGACAGTTCCGGTAATGTTAATTTTGATCACATTGGCTTGGCGTTGTCGGCGGTTGTTCATCATGCACTCTCCGTTCAGCATCACAATATTTCCTGGCTTCAAACACTGGGTGACATTTATTTAGGTACGATTTATACCACGTTAATATTTGTTTGCTTTATTTGACAAATACGCAGATGCTCTCCATGAATATATGGTATGGTTCAATTTTATCCTTGGTTCAAATTTTGTGTTCGTTTGTTTCAAACCCATCATCATACATTACCACACCCAAAAACAAAAGAAAATAAAATTGAAACCGGGACAAAAGTGTGCATATACATGTTTACAAGAGAAATTAACTGATTGCGACGTTAGTATCTTTTACCGTAGGAGTTAGCTTCGGAGAGACGTGATCCCTATAGTGTCACCATCCCCCTGGCCTGAACGTGGGCGGGGCCGGGGGTTACTCAGGCAAGCTTGGGACAGCTGTGTGCTGCGAAGGATTTTAAGCCCTGACCCTCTGTGGCAACAGGAACAAAAATTGTTGGAATTGAAAAATAAATAAAACATCGAGTATTCTGTTTATAAATGTTTTATATGACTTGTAGATTCCGGTAACTATTCCTCTGCTCTGCAATGCTTCCTTGAGGCTGGCGCTGTTTCATCTTCATTTTTTAACTTGCCGGTTCCAGCCAATGTCTGGGATGATCAGGTAAGACTTCTAACAGCTATAAAAGGCTAAATATAAAAGCATGGCTAACTAACTGCTAACGCAGGCCGTTGGTATTACGTATGCTTGTCGATTCTGATGATTGCTTAATTAAAGTCTTCCCCCTTAGCCTAAGTTATCCTGTGTTAGTCAGTCAGTCAGTCAGTGAGTTGGTCGGTCGTCGTTCTTGATGCCGACAATAGAGACAACCTGTAGATTAGAGGACGAGGACGAGATTCAACTAGGACAAGATTTTCTCACGACTACGAGGATGAGATTTAACTTAAACTTTTCGTAAAAAAAAATTTACACCCCAGAAAGCTTCAATGTACTTTTTTACCAGAAAGGTTAGCACGGCTATTTTTATTGAAGGAGGTTCAGCCCTCTCGCGATCGCAAAATGATAAAACTTCTAACCGATAACTTCCATCTGACCACGACATTCTCTGAGTCGCTAAATCCCGTAGTAAAATGATGAAGTCAGCCAAGCGAGGTCATTGCACGCGTGCTGAACAAGAATGCTGTATAATGACAGACTAGAAACAATAGACAACTCCCAAAGAACAAACGCAGCCAAAACGCTAAAAACCTTCAATGTTTACTCAAGTTTGGGCTTATAGAAGATAATGTTTACAGTTTTTCAATGAACATGAAATTCAGAGTCCGGGTAGTTAGTTAATCAATTGTGGCCCTGAAAAAAATTGAAGGCAAAAAAACTACGAATTTTTAAGAAAATGCTTTTTTCATGAGAAGGACTCTTAAACGCCGACAAACGTCAACAAATAGCGAAAACTATAATTTCTATATGTTTGCTTTGCTCGAAATCGCGCGCTTTTACAAGACCCTAAAACTTTTTGCTGACGTGCAAGGACCCATCTGTTCTAACGATCCCCAAAATAAAGGGATAAGTCTCATAGTATATTAGATATAATCGTGTAAAGTTTGCTTATCATTTTCGCATAAATTATGACCTAAATTTGGAAACCGCTGAATTTCTCGAATTGGGTCTTTGCGATTTTGGTAAAACTCTGTTCAGCGCAAGGCACTAATGCGCACTATGTGTAGCCGAGAGATTTTCACGAAAAAATGCCGGCAACAGCAGATTTTCGATTCAGACCTCAAAGGGGCGTGGCATTATATCCACGTGACATTTACTCCGATCGCCCAAAATTTTATGTTATATTGTAGATTGATCTATATGTTATCCATTCTATGTGTTAGACTTACGATAAAAGTAAAGGTGGGGATACCAGAGAGCTTCAAAGTAGGATCGTACCTCTCCAAAAAAACTGGGTCGAGTCACCTTAAAACCTCCGGCTTATTCTTCATAACCAGCTAATGATGGCCAAATCTGGAACATGATTGCCAATATCAATACCTTTGTCGTCAATCGTATTGCATAATTCTTCATATCTCACTCAACCCCATCCAATAATTACTAAATATTTAAGTATAGAAAACCTGCTTAACAAATAGCGAACCACACGTCAGGAGATGATCATTCAGCGGTTTATTTTAAAAAATTTCTCTGTTATGTTTTTATAGGTTTACAGAAAGATGGTTACATGCTGCTCTGCGATGAAAGCTCATATTCAGGTTACAGTTAAACTAAATTTACTATTGTGCTCAAATCACATTGCTGAACTAGTCATAGTGTAATATTACTTGCAAATATACGCGCTGGTCTATTGGAAAACAAAAACCGATGTTATGCTCATTGCAAGTCACAGGGATTGTATGAACACTAGGATAAATATAATATAATGACTTTGTTTTTTTCTTGACTTGGGGTGATTGCAATTATCTTTGTTCTCTGTAGGCAGCTTTACTCTGTCAATGTATGGAAGTAAAAGATTATACAACAGCATTTAAAGCTCTTCAACAAGCAGCAAATTCAAGGTATTGAGAGATGAGTTAATAGGGATTTTCCATAAAAAGGTTAATGTTGATTTAAACAGTTGCTTGCCGAGTGGAAGTGTTTAACTCATGCATTTGTGATAAATACAGTAAAAACACGCGAGTAAGAACCTGCATTTTCCAAAGTTAGCCTACACAGGTTCTTACTCAAATGGTATTAGCATAAATTTAGGCTATTAAGGTTCTTGAAAAGGTTCATATTTTTGGAAGAAAAACAATACATTGTAGCTAAGAGTATTTAGTGGTATTCTGCTTATTCCCTAAATAAAATCTACATACCATTATCCTTCATTACATTACAGTTGGAGTAACAAGGCACCTATGTCTTCAAAGATTAATGTATCCTGATTGTCGACTTATCTTATTTGCCCAAGCGTACTTTTTTTTAATAGATTTTAGAAAATAAGAACCTTTTTTAAATTTTAGGTTAAACAGATTCTTAATTTTGACGTGTATAGAGGGGGCCCAACTGGCAAATTTTAGCCTAACAGGTTCTTACTTGCGGGTTTTTATCTAATCTGGCAGATCGCTAAACATTGGTTAAAAACCTGAGACATAATGTCCGATTGACGATCAGACTTTGAAATCAATTGTTGATAAAAACACAAAAGTGAAAGTTAAGTGGTCCCAAAATGGTTATTATTATTATTTTTTGTCTCAACAGCTCCGACGCGATGGATTTTTATTATGGCTTCTTCTGGGATGTTACAATGTTAGAATATTTAACCTGTATCCTTTGGGTGCTACTTAGGGGATAGACACTGACATCATTGGTCGTTTTTACAGGGGTTTCGCGTGATCCGTGAATTGACCGCTAAAAAGAGCTTGAATCAGAAAAACTCATGAAATACAGTCATGATTCGTGAATTATATGTACACTGTGACGCGTGATCCTCTAACATTTTAGTCCGTGAATCGAGATTTCTGCAGATAAAACAGATGTGAGTCTCGTGACAAGGCTTCGAAGTTAAACCATGTAAAAATAGAAAATTGTAGGGCTTCGATTTTATAGCAATAAAATTCATTGCCAATCAAATTTGTAGTGGTCAAACAAAAAGCACAGAATCGTCAATTTGATCGGCACCATACTTTTTGTTTCCTTCCCATCACGGGTGCCTATAGTAGTCCAGAAACCACTAAGAATTGTTGACGGGCTTGATCAGTTCGTCACCCAATCACGTGATTCGTGAAATGACTCCTAAAGGTAAAGTGATTTGTGAATGTACGGAAATTCAACCCGTGACTCGTGATGCAGACACCCCCTCTAGACCCTGTTTTTATATTAAGGGCGCATTATCCATCTGGACAAACTTCAGCAAACGTTTTGTAGTTCGTCTGGTTACGTGTCTCTAACATAAAGACGGGCACAAGACGCGTTATGCGTCCAGACGAACTACCTTTCTTAGTGCGTCATCGCAGACGTACGTTTTACGATATTTCGTTCCCAGAGATTATCTGGCCACCCTTTCGTTTGTTGTCAAACGTGTCTCCCATTACGTTTGGTTTTAACAGACCAAAGAGGTCGACACCTTTGCGTAGCCTTAGGAGTAATCAAGATTACGTGTACAGTTCATATGGCATGCACTGTACCACTGATTCCTAAAGTAATGTGCTTTAATACCCTTGAATAGACCACACAGAATAACTAGTAGTTTGTATGAAATCCAGACTATTTTTATGGTTTTCAGTCGCTGTGTCTTGTGTGTGAAGCATTAACAGTTTTTACGTGTGGTTTTTTACATTCTTTTTTTGTGTTTTGTCTTTTGTTAACTTTGACTCACTTTGATATAGACACACACGCTAAGCGTGGGCAACACGACAAGAAACTACTTACAGTAAGTTCGTTATCTTATCTCTCGTTAGAACTCTGCGCGTTTTTTACTTTTATCTCGTTACCTTCATCTGTATCGTAAGTAACTAAGGGACGTGAATAAATTACCTGTAATTTTCACCAGTGATGTGAAATGCCTATGGAAAGAAACCCTTTTGTCAGTCACCAGCTCACTAAAGATGAATGAAATGTACAACAAATATATGCATCCCGTGGCGTCAACATATTTGTACACTAATATGGCCGCCGTGACGTCATTTGATAACGATCTATAGGTTTTCATTTTCTTACCCCCAAAGGAAAGCGTGACCACGCCTTAAGAACGTGTGCGTGGGAAGGTACGAGTGGCTTAGCCGTCAAAAGAGCTAACTGAAAACGAAAGCCGCGCATGAAACGTCTCTGGCACCTAAGGTGGATTCTAGAATTTTCAACAGTTTTTTCAAAGACATGAGATTGAGGTACCATTCTATTCTATTTTTGTTGCAGATACAAACAATTAGTCAACCTGAACTAAACGTTTTCAATTCATCGGAGCTTCTCCAGCACACTGAACAAATCAGGAAAGCCAAGCTACTGAGAACACTCGCAAAACAGTATCTCTGATCCAGGTCCATTGAACATGTAGTTTAGCTTCGAAAATTTAAATTGTGAATTAAAAAGAATAAACAGAATAAAGGCAACTTCCAAATGTGAGACAAGAGTGAATTCATGTATGTATTGTCTCTTGCTCAGGCGATTTTCTTTAGAAGAGATGGGAAGGCCATAGTATTGATTTTAAATGGAGGGCAAGATCATCGGCCAGCCCCAACAAACATCAATCCACAATGATTTACCAATCCACTGTCCACCTCATATTTAATCCACTTTTCAATGGTTTCAGTGCAGAAAGAAAGCGGTTGTTTGTAGTAAAATTGAACAGTTTTAAGAATGGTTTAGTGTGAAAGGGGCCTTAGCAAAGGAGAGTGGTGGTAGAATTTTTCAGAAGTCGATAACGATAATTTAGTGGGTATTTTTGAAACCACATACTTTTTTACCAGAATCGACCCACTCCACCTACAAGAAACCAGTGAATCCAGACACTGAAACCGCAGTGTTTTGAAACCACTCTTCAGAGCTGTTTAAGGCTCCACCCACAATAATCTGCGGTTTCAAGACTGTCTGGATTCATGTGGACATGCCCTTAGAACTCTTATTTTTATACTTGCTGAATGTCTTTAATATTTCATATTTTGCCACACAGAACAAAGACAATAAATTGTAATTGGAATTATTTTTTTAATTATCAAGAAATTTTAAGCTCTGTGGTTAAATTTGTATCTTAATTACAACTATTAAATTGAATATATTATCTATATTATTATACAATTATTAACAACACTACCACTTCATTTTTTTCATAAATTAGATTAATAATTTCCTGTAAAAACCAACTGGTTTATAACTCGAGAGATTTTTATAAATATTGACAATTCTGCACAAGCTGGAAATATGGCCCTTCATTTACACTGATTCAACATTACTATTCACAAGCTTCCAATATATAATAATATTACAGCCTTAAATATACTGTTCTGTACAAAATTTTACATTTCTCTTGTCTGCATATTTAACAACTCGATTAGAAGTTGGAGTTGACCAATTGACTCTTAGAAAATGAGAACAAGTGCTGTAGACTATTATTATAGACTATATTATTGTTTTAGTAGAAACCAACAGATGTACTACCTTCAATAGTCCAGTTTCTAGTTTGCTATGACCGCTGAATTCAAGAAGTGAAGATGCATTTGTACAGGCTTACCCTCCATCTGAAGTAACCCTGTATTGTGTTGTTAATGTTTGTATTCAGCAGTAATTTTTAATTCAAAACTGGGCTATTCTATACAAAGCATGTAAAAAAAACAAGCCTTTTAGAAATAATTATCTATAACAGCAATTTTTTTAATTGATCTTGAATCATGAGCTAGTCTTTTCTTTTTGAAATCTCATAGCAGCAAGGGCTCGCAGGCTAAACATGTGATCAACATCTAGACCAGTCATTCTTTGAACTCGGAATAAATGATTCTCGATACCTTTCTTGTCCATTTGCAGTTTTTGCCTCAGTTTTACTGCCGTGTCCAACAGAGGGATCACATAAGAACATAAATAATCATCTTGAGCTAAATCAAGAGCTGCCATTGCATAATGCTCAGCATCTTCCAGATTGTCTTGAGCCTCAAGTACCACCACAACTGCTGCAAGAGTAGCTATAACCTCTCTTACTTTGTCACACAACTTCACTTGAAGATGCAGGCTGTTTAATAACAGTTCTAAGGAATTATTTAATTCCCCACCTATTAGAAAGTCAGTTGCCTCTCGTAAACCTGGCAGATAGAAAAACTCTCGGAAAGCTGGATGTTGGCGTACTTCATAGTGTTGGTATATAGTTTGCAGGAATGCCTGAAATTCCACCCGTCTGGATTCAATTAATTCGGGATCCAAATTACTCTTTTGGCCAAGAACTCTCTTTGGAAAATTAATGTCCTTCAAGATGGTTGGAAGGTCTTTTTTGAGTGACTTGTACAGAGCTCTGAAGTCTGAGTATCGTCGTTCCACTGAGACCTTGTCTTTATCAATACCCATTTCTGTTCTCAAGACCATAATACAATAAAACTGAAAGAAGAAATTTATTAAAGAAAGTGAACCTCAAAAAAAATGTCATTACTGAGGGTCTACAGTAAAATCACCTGGATGTTGGTTTTAGATGAAGATCATTAACTGGATAAATTATTCCTTTAGACTTATAAATGAAAAAGAAACATTTCATATTAGGGCAGCTTTTTGTTTAAAAATGGTATTTGATAACAATATGGTTAGAATTTACAAGCACCACTCCGCTCCTTTTAAAAATCATTAAAACAATCATAATCAAAACATTCTGATGTCAGCTTACAGTCAAGACAGGTCAAGTGCATCCTGATAGATTCTATAAACAAATTCACTATTTAAAAATGAAAATGTTAGTAACTATACTAATATTCAATATTCATTTCCTCATTCTGGCATATGTAATGAGCAGTAAATTCACACTTGAGACTGTTAAAATTTCTGTCTGAAGCTCAGCTTTCTTTTTAGTCTCAGTATGCCATTAATGTCTTCATAGGAATTTTATCCATAATTCAATGGTTGAATGATTTTTCATGCAATTAATCTGACCAAATACAGAGAAGCTGTAGTCTTAAATTCACTGCTTATAATGCGTGCAGGAATTAAGAGATTTGAATTATTTTGATACCCCGAATAGCGTAGCGTAGTGTAGCAACTTACTGACTCAATTTCCAAAAAAGAAACATTAACCTGTTCACTTAAGCCCCAATATCCACATATAAATTCTCCAGATTGATCTTGATATATTTCATTTCCATAAAGAATTAGGTTTTTGAGAACTGGAATTTGATAAAAGATAGAAGCATTTTCCCTTAAGTAGACATTTTTCTATATAGATTTAGCCTGGGCTAAAAGCGAAGCTCTCATTAATATTTATAGTTTACTTTTTTTAAAGGGAACCTCCACTTCAACAAAAAGATAACTTTAAATCACAGGAAATAACTGTTACAGTCAAGTCAATCTAAAATACTTTTAAAGAAAGTGTTTGTATCCAAAAGAAATAACTTTTAGATTCGCCTATTTTTGTTTTCAAATTTTGCGGGCGTCGCCATCTTGAATAACTGTGACGTGTAATGGTTGCCCTATTGTTATTAAACAAAAGCTCTTTGTGTCAGAACAATAGAGCAACTGTAACACGTCGCAATTATTCAAGATGGCGGCGCCCGCGGAATTTGAAAGTGAAAATAAGCGATTTTAAAATTCACTTTTCCTGATATAAACACTTTTTTTAAGACAAATTTCGAACAAATTTGTTTAACATAATTTTATTCGATTTAAACTTATTCTGTAGTAAGAGTGGAGGTTCCCTTTTAAATAGCAATCTTAACTAAAGCAGGTACTTACAGACAGCAAATTACATAGAGGCAAATACTCTGAACGGTGCTTACAAGTTGACACTAACACTAGAATTTCTTGGGGTATGCTTGACCCGGCTTGCGACTTCAAACTGTAAATTGATGTACTTACCACTCGCTTGCTTTGTTCATCTATCCTGGGTAAAAACACTTCAAATCTTACATTGCAAGGGTCGTTGTAGATAGATATGCCATGGCCTTTACAAATGCTCTCGAAAGAATCAACATCTTTCTCCTCATCATCAGAATCAATGTCACCAATATAGACAATGCCCTTTTCTAAAAGTACAAGAAAAGTCAGTGCTGGTCTGCCTAATAAAAAAACTCAAGTGTACAATCAGACTGAGGGGCTAATCAGCATTACATTTTGGGTTGCACTTAGAAATCAGAGGGTACCCTACAGGGTTCTTTAATCCAGTCATCCCAACCCAAATATTCGCTCAATCCCATAATCCTAATAGTTATTTTTGGCATCCCCATCTCATGCACACTTTCAATCCCGAACCTCGCTCCCATTTTATTAGAAATCCTGAATCCTAGCCTTCAAAGAAGGCAAATCCCAGATCCCAAAAAACTTGTTGGGGAGACAAATCTGGCCAAGATTTTGCACATTACATGATAACAGACCTTGTCACGGTTTTCGACCCCATCTTGACTAGTATGCAAATGCGTGAGAAATTATAACAGTGATTGTATGAGAATCTAAGGGCGAATAATTTCCGTAGAATGGCTGTTCTGAAACAAATATGATTTGTAAACTAAAGCTTCACTCCTAAGGATTCTCCTGAAAAAATTTGAGAGCATTACATGCACTAGAAGACCTAGAGCCACTTTTTAAAATTTTCTATACATTCGCCTGTAAGAAAGTCCTGGGAAAATTTTGATCACAAGGTCGCAGGTGATTTATTTCGATCAGTAATGTGCCTGTTGTGAAACTGGATGTTTTTGCCATGATATTTGACGAACAGACAAATATATGGAAAAACTAAAGCAAGCCTCTGGAGAAATTTAAGCACAGGTATGCCCCCAATTTTTTTTAGGACAATCCTTTGCTTTGTAGCTTTAGTTTACAGAACAGCCGTTTTACGGAACTTATTCGACATTAGATTCTCATACAAACACTGTAATTTCTTACACGTTTGCCTACTCGTCAAGATGGCGTTGAAAACCGTGACAAGGTCTATTGGATGACTTGTCTGGTTAACGAATGCCCTCCCTGTGTTCTGCATATCTCTCAGTATTTCAACATCAGAGACTGAGACCCCCTACAAACAGTAATGTGTTAAGCAAGCCAGTCTGATCATGATTCAGGGTTGTCACTAAGGGCTGGGGGCCGGGGATTTCCCCCGGCTACTCAGAGCATGGCCCCCGGCTACTTTCATCGTTAAATTAAACCAAAAGAGCACACCTTTGAAACACACAAAGACAATCCATCAAACTAAATGCAAGTTTCATCTGCAGCAGGTTTAAGTAATTTTGAAATACTGAGGTGCAAAAACTAAGAAATGTCGGAAAAAGACATCTGACTTAGATTTGGTACTAGTACACACGCGCGAAAACTCTCCGTTCGCGAAATGTCAGTAAGGAGTTTTAACAATGATGACGGCGACGGCAACGAGAACGTCAAAAAAGCAATAGGTTTATTGAGCAAAACAACTAGTTTGCACGTGCATCACGCTTTTTTGTACATTTTTTTGCCGTTACTGCACGACTACGACGTGAAAATGCTTAGTTTCAATTTTATAGAGGACGTAAAACAAGCGACGACAAACTTTTCTCAGATAAAGTGACCAGCGCCAACCTGTCATTTTTTCAGGCCTGGTGCTTACATGTATATTCCCATTTGGCGGCCACTGAAAAAACCCTCCAACGAGCCTTTACGTAAAGTCACCTGAAAATATTATTTTAGTGTCTCAGAATGTTGTAGTTTTCTTTAATAAAGACGTGGTCATCATAAAACCGCTAATGATAGCTGTACTCTTGATGAAGATTGCTTTTTAGGGGCGGTATTGCCGTTTGGAAAACGGTAGAAGTTGCAGTTCAAAAACTTCTGGGGGGAGGGAGGGGGGAGGGGCTCCATAACTGCTTGCGACTTCCCCAGCTACTAACAACAAATACCCGGCAACTTGAAATCTTAGTGACAACCCTGATGATGTCTGAATCACAATCCTTGCCTAAAACAAATGATACGCCGGCTGAAAAAAAACTTCTGGAGAAATATTCCTCGCTGGGCAAGTAATAATATATTAACATTTGTGGTCCAAGTTAATACAGTCAAGTATGTGAAGTTCCCTCTGTAACAAGGATTCCTCATCCACTCTCTCTTTTAGCACCCACCCCCAACCAACTCCTGCCACCTTTTACCTTCAAACTGAAACATTTTCAGGTGACTTTAATCATAAGCTAATCAAAAGAATAGTTGATTTGAAAAAAAACAAATTTTCATGTCTGTCCTCATTAAAAAATCTAGCATGGTTCTTCCGTTCTGCCAAATCAAATGAGCCCTCCCTTTGAAATCATGAAATTCATAGAGTTGGGGAACAAAACATTTTTTCAAAAGCCTGAAAAAGGTCAACTGCCTCGTTAACTAGAGAATGGATAAAAGTAGAAATAATTTCCCTACTACCACGCTCCAAAAATTATTCCTTACAGCTTTTTCAAAATCTCTTCAGACAGAAAATACTTCAAGAAGACAATAAAGTAGCAGCCTTTCATTTTCAGACAAAAACAAAAAAATTTGTATCGTTTTCATACGAAACATTTACATGTAGGAAAAAGCGAAGTTGAAACCACAAAATCTTCCCACTTAAGCTTAAGTACTTTACAACTTACTACGAACCCGAAGGAGTGAAGCGAATCGAAGCTTTAAGTTGCACCGAAAGGAAATTTTTTTCTGCCGATATATACAGTATCAACCGGTAAACCTATTTTGCTTCTAATCTTGATTAATTTGAAAATTAAAGACAACTAGATTTTCTGTGTACGAGGGGAGCTAAAGTAAACTTTCCAAGAGATTAGCGTGATTTTGCGAGTCCATCGAAGCGTATCTGACATTGAATCTTTTTACTTCGAATCTACAATGTACACAGTTTAATTTAAGAGGTTGGCATAATATTCACTTACCTCCGGGATGAATTATAGTTCTTATGGGATTAACAAGTTGTCCATTGAAGGAAATGCTATCAGATGAACTTTCTGAACGGTCATCAGGGTTTACTTCTGTGCAATCATCCACGTACCACTGGCACCTCGACTCCATCAACATACATTTGTTCGTGCGTGATCGAAGGTAAACCTTTTATGGCTGATGGCACGTCACAAGGAACGGCATTATGGGAAGTTCGCGGTTTCCTAGGAAAAGGTGGGAAATAATGAAACGGAAAGAACATTCTTCCTTACAGGTATCACCTAACGGGCAAAAACACATCATTTTGTAGTTTCCTTTGACCGAGGTTTGCCTTTCAAGGTCATAGCAAGAGAGATGGTCATAGTGAGAAGAGTCATACTGAAAAAACCGAGGGCCCGGACAGGGAGAGTTCTCTCGCCATTTTTTAAATTTTTTTTTTATCTTTTTGCCCTGAACCGTTCCAATTTATTAAGCCATCGTGGTTTCCCACTTCGCTTTAGTCGCTTTAACAACGCGACCTGACGGCAAGTTATGATAAGGAAGGTGTTTTTTGAGTTTTAGGGGCCTTAGGTTCGCGATCGTACACGCGGGTTTTAACAATTACTGCCGTACGTTACTTAAATACAAGCGGCATCAAGCAAGCAAAACAACACAACAGAATAGAAGATTGTCGTCCACCACCCCCCCCCCTTTCACCCCCCAAAAAGGAAAACTAAACAACCTCGTCCCCAGGGCGCTTTTCCCTGGCTTTGGAGGAGGTTGAAGGCTAAAGATTGACCTCAATATGTAGCCTGAATTTCATCCGATTACTTTGAGTCGTTATTACTCCCTCGAAGTAATCGGATGAAATTCAGGCTACTCAATATGCTCAAAACTGAAAAAGAAAAAAATTCACGTATCAGGGAGAATTACAAGAGTTTCCAGGTGTCATGATTATGACGTTATCCTCCATGCAAATTATCTATGAAATAAATAAGGAATGCAATTTTTACTACTCTATCGATCTCGGTGACAATATGTGTCATACACATCGGTGATAGAGGTAAAATTAATATAAGCAATAAAAGCTTTTTCGTACTTATTGTTCTGATTTTTGGTGACTATTACATTGAAACTAAAAAATGCTCCCTGCGAAGTCTTTGTCATATTAGTCTCGCTGTTATTCTAGAAATCATAAGTATCCTCACAATGTATTCTCTTGATTCAATGCCAGCCCTGAATATGAATGCTTGGTCAAAAGCTTGTAGTTATCAATAAACGTTATAAGCAAGAGACATAGCTGTCAAAGCAATAAATCAAACCATTCCTTGGGGCGCTTATTTGTCAGAACTGGCCAGCTGGAGACTGGTCGCTTTGAAAAGTAATGAAATTATCATTTTGTCTTTTCTCAAAATTTTCACTATCACTGCTGGGAACACAATTTAGGAATAGATTGATCTGGCAGCAGCTGGACCGAGTCCTGATTTAAAGTGGAATTCTTTGCAAGGCGGGACTAGTGTTGCCAGGCAGTTCTGGTTAATTGTACAAAAGGGACCCAAAATTAACAGCACATTCAAACAAACACCTGGTCCAAGGCAAAGTTTGAAATAACTGCCTCTGTGCCGGGGGGAGGGGAGGTAAAAAAGGCATAACAATGTAACAAAATATTGTCTTCAAAATATTATACACCTGTTTTTTATTTGAGAAAAAAACAAAAACCCTGTACAAACAAGAACATTAAACTTTAAAAATGGATAGGACCATCAATCATGATAGAATACATCCCTCTTGCCAGGATATGCAAAATATATAATATTTACAATTTTTATTTAATTAAAGTCATTACAAATATCACCCTGTGTGCAGTAGTCTGTCTTTCTTCCACTACAACTAGTCGATACCATTAAATGGTCATTTCCTTTAGTACATCAACCTGCCCCTATAGTGTTCAGCTCTCACATCAGGATTAGTAAATCTGACAAGTCATTTATGATATTATAGTACTTTCTCTTAGCTATTGCTAAAACAAAAACAAAAGGGAAAGATAACAAACTGAGGAAAATTATCTCAACACTCCGACTTACAAAATAAATTCATGCATGATGTAGAATCAACTTTGGGAGCACTCATATCCTACAGATTTTTAGTGAATACAGCATGTTGTGGGGCCCCCAACAAAACTTTTATACAGTTAAACCTTTTCTATTTGTTTCTAGACTGCACAGCTGGAAGGATATTGTTTGTCCGAGTTTGTGAGAGTTTTGGTGGGTTTCTTCCCCATTCTTCACGCTGGCTGCTTCACAACTCCTCTCCCTCAATGTGCCCTGACAGGATGATCCAGCCAGCTACAAAGGCTAATATTTATTTGTTTCATGTTGCATTCAACTTTCAAAAAATAATATACACTGAAGGAAGAGACACTGATAATATTACTATTGTGATGCTTGATTCTTACATAGAAAAAAGCCACTAAAGTATTCCCAGCTTATAAATTTTCTTTTAAACTTAAGTTGTTCAAGTCAAATTTTATTTAGTATTATTCTTAATTTTCCAAAATCAAATTTACTGCAATGCAAGCAAATAAAGTATGAAATAACAGATTAGCTGCCACTTTTCCAGCCCATGCAACAATTTACAATGAGGTATAACAAGGCCGTGTTCTAAGAAAAATTAAAGGGAGCCTAGTGCTCTGAGCTTGTGTGCCCAGCACAATTTATTATTATTTCTATCAAAAAAAAAAAGATTTTTTAACCACCCAAGAGCAAAAGTAATGTGTCAGACGTCACGGGCATTGCTAGAGCACAGTCCTCACACAATGTGTTTTCCTGTACTAAAAAATTGTAAAATTTTAGGCACAGTTTCCTGTCTGATCATTGTAAGCTGATCTTTCTTGATGAATCCTCTTTCGATACAAGTCTCCTGCTTTAAAATGCGCAACAGCCACCGCCTCTTACCAATTTTTTACCAGTCCAAATGGCTACCCAGCATGCACCCATAACTTATGAATGCTCCCTTATTTCTCTCTCATTTCAAGCTAGGGATAAGAGATGGATAAAAGAACTAAGGGTGTAAAGAATGTACAAAGATCAGTCTGTTGTAAAATTTGAAAAACCTGTACATGTCTCATAGTCTCTTGTCAAGTAAAATTAATGATAGAATCTACTTGGTCCTTAAAACTATACTAGTGATTAAAAAACACATAACTCTAATATCTATATTCATCTGTCAAATCTTTTGCGATCTAACAGAGTTACAATGTTGATCATAGTTTCAACTTTCTAAGCAAAACATATTAAAAATGTTTCTTGTACTAGTCACTTTGTACATGTATTCTAACTACTTTACTTGTCAAACCTCATAACAGCAAGTTCTCGGAGTGTGAAGGCATTATCAGCTTCTATTCCACTCATTCGTTGAACACGATTTAAGTGTCTCTCTAAAGTCTTCTTCTCCATTTGAAGTTTCCACCTTAAATTAGCTGCTGTATCCAGCAAAGGAATCAAATGGGGACAATAAAAGTCATCTTGTGCTAACTCTAGTGCAGCTGTCGCATAACGATTTGCCTCTTCCAATTTACTCTGGGCTTCATGAATGACAACAATTCCACAAAGAGTAGCAATAATCTCCCTCACTTCATCACCCAACTTAACTTGAAGATGAAGGGTGTTTAATAATAATTTTAAACCACTTTTCAGTTGACCTCCTTTGAGTTTTTCTGTTGCCTCTCGTAATTCCGGAAGATAGAAAAATTCTCTAAAAGCTGGATGAAGACGTGCTTCATTACTGTAACAAATCTTTTGCAGGAATGTCTCAAAGGACGAACGTCTAAGTTCAATATTTTCAGGGTTTAAGTTGCTTTTCTGTCCGAAAAGTTTTCCAGGAAATGCAACATTTTCCACAACGCTTGAATGGTCCTTCTTGAGTGCTTTGTACAGGGCAGCAAAGTCAGAATATCGTCTCTCTATCAAGGCTCTATCTGTGTCAATCCCTTCAGTTCTCAGGACCATAAGGGAGTAAAACTACAATACAAATAGAAAAAAATGCGTACAGGCATTTTAATTGGGTTCAGCCAACATACAGAAAACACATCACTGCTGGAGTCCCTGGATCATCTAATTGGGATATGATGGAATACTCACAAGTGAAATTGGTGTACAAAAATGTTTACAAGAAGAATGGGGAAATTATTCTTTTAAACTAAGTCCCGTGGGGGGGGAAGGGGGGTCATGATTAGTCCCCTGGATAAGCATCTAGTTGGATATAACCTTAGATCAGGCCCAATTTTAGCAGCTTCCATACATTCTCTCTTATGTGGTCATGGTCAATTATATGATGAAAATTTCTCACAAGTGAAATTAAAGTTAAATTTCATTTTCCTAATTGTTTCAAAGTCCTTAACATGATTTATTATTCATTCAAAATATTTCTCTGATTCTGATTGGCTAAAAGCACACGTATAATTCACCATAACCAGTTACTGTTGACCAAATTTGGAAGAATTTTGTGTTTCACGAGGAAATGACATCAACAATGCAGCGTTCTTGCAGGTTAAGGCACTGTTAACCGAGAAGACCTGGGGACAAGGTTGAGTTGTTTTGGTTATAAAAACAAAAATTAATATGGTGGACATTTCACTCGTTTCAAGAGTAAGAACTAGGCAACATTATAGCTTAAAACATGGCAAGAACAGCAAGAACAACATCTACGACATCTGCTATTTGGAGAATATTATTTTGCAGAGCTGAACAACCCTAACCGTGCACTATCGAAGGAGGTATCGATGGAGGTAAGCATGTTTTAGCTTTGTTTTTAAACTAGGAATTATTTTGTATGAATAATAATGTTTGAATTTGGCTTTCATATCATATGAAGAATTTGGAGATCTCAGAGGGTTTTATCCGCCTCGGCCTATGGCCTCGACGGATAACACCCTCCTCGATCTCCATAATTCTTCATAAAAAACTCAGCCTCATTCATTAATTGTTAAATTATATTACTATGTCCAAAAACAAAGGAAAATAAAATTATTTTAAACCAAGGATAAAATTAAGCCATAACAAGTTTACAAGAATGTTGGACATTATTCTATCAAACTTGTTTCAGCAGCATTTCCCACTTATATATTGCAGTGGCGTGATTACTCCCCCACAGAAGCAGCTAATCAGGATATGATGGTATACAGACAAGTGAAATTAGTGTATGCAATTTACAAGAAGAATGGGGAAGGTATTCTACCAAACTTCTTTCAGCAGCATTTGAATGCCCTACTTCTGATTGGCCAAAAAAATTAATACTTTCAGATTCTGTCCCCAAAAATGCATCATGCGTCCCACTTAGATATTTCTCACTGAATCTTCAGGGAATGACAGACTAATAAATTCTAGGGGGGGGGATCACGATTACTCCCCTACACAAGCCATGCTTTTGGAGCCATTTCAGTTAACATCTAGTATGGCTATTGACAGAGCCATGAGAGTGTACGACTGTATTTGAATTTTAGAATAATACTTCATTCAAACTGGACTTGGTGATTGGCCAATGCAAGGTCTCAAAACAGGTTGTTTTAGGAGCCAGGCCCGAAAAAATGGGTGTGGAAAATAGCATTATTTTGGTCTAAAAATATAGGGTAAGAATTTAGAGAACCGGGTGGCACACTCCCACCAAGAATTCCTAAGATTAACCTCCCCCCACCCTCTCAGAAGGCACGACTGTGACTTCAGAAAGTTCCAGAGTACATTGTACATACCACACATTGCTTGCGCTGATATTCATGAATCCTGGTTGAGAAGATCTCAAACTTGATACTCTGAGGATCAGTAGTGACTGATATTCCATGGCCTTTACAAATGCTATCATTCGTCTCTTCATCACTCTCACAATCACTGCTGATATCTTCTGGTACAAATACAATACCTCGCCCTTAAATTGAACAAAATATAACTTGTACTTGAGAAGCATGAACTTACTGATGGATCTAAAAAAAAGGGATTGGACTGGGCAGGGTGTGCCAAAACCTATGTCAGATTGCCCAGGACAGGTAGAAATTTAGTTCTGACATGTAAACCTTTCACATGACTTGTCTGTGGGACAAGCACATTTTCAAATAGAAAAATACAATTTGAAAACAGTTGAAAATGGACTTAAATTGACTTGAAAATTGTCATAAAAGCAAACCTCATACTTGACAAAATAAGGTTAAACACTCCTTTTAACTTTGCCGTACTGGGGCCATTTCACTTGTTTTCACGAGCTCCGTTTAGCTTAGGAACCTTGCAAACTTTTTGGACAAAAACCTATGTGTTTCAGACAACAAAATTTAATATAGTGCTTGTCAGAGGAACAATAATATCAACCCATTCGCCCCTGAACCGCCCGTAACCGCCCATGCGGATCCACGTCCTATCTACCCCTTGTGACGTCATCAGTTTTAACGGTCAAGGACAACTTTGTCCTCTACCTTGTGCAGAGTGAAGAGATCTTTCAAACCACACCAGAATGAGCACAATTCAGTCAAGGACACCGGAGAAAAAGGCAAAAAACCATGCAAGATTGACCAGTAAATCTCCATGAAAATCTTGTTCCATTGCCCACCTACCTTTCCTTTCACCTAATCCTAAGATCCTAAAAGCTTTCCTAAAAACTCTTCCCACCGAAATGAAGCCTACTAAATGCCCAGCAAGAGAAAAAAAATTGAGGCAAGAAAAGTGAAAAAAAAAAGAGGCAAGGAGAGAAAGCGAAAAGTAAAAGTAAAGACTGCTGTGACACTTTTAAACCCAAAAACTATCTGGAAATTTTGCTTTCTGCTCATGCCCGAACTACGCAAGGTGATATTTTGCATCTGGATCAGAAGGCCGTGAAGTGCACGACCTGTGAACGGGTTTGTGGTAAGTTTTAGCTCTTTATAGCATGACAGTGACCAGAAAACCACGCGACTAGCTTCAAAACGCGTTTTTCGGCAAAATCTCCAGGAGCGAATGGGTTAAATAAGAAAAGTTTCCTCTTACTCTGCTGGGCACCATGATTCTTAGACCAAAGACAATGAGATTACACTTGAACCCCACTTGCAATCAACTCTTGTAACCACCTCTTATAAGTGAGCACAAATTGACAAAATTTCCCACTCAAACCCTAAATGACCACCCTTTTAGTGACTATGATCACTATTTGGG